CTTATTCAAAACTACTTGTAAAACGTGTGTGTACTGTGTAGCACTAGCATAATAATTAACTAGATAATATCATAACTAGTGGCGTCCGCAGGGGGGGGGGCTAACGGGCTGAAAACCCCCCCATTGCCCGTTTTATTATTTTCTGTTTTTACGTTTACCTCGATTTAATCTTCTTCTTTCTTCTTTCTTGGTTTCGGTCATTCAAGACCATACCTCTAAGTAAACATACTGCCACCTATCCCTATCCTCTGCTACTTCCTTACCTCGATTTAATATAGTTTATTAAATTGTGTGTTTACCTATTTATTGCAAACAATGCAGACCATATTGTCCTAAACTGGCTAAACTCCTAAGGTTCATAGATAATATTTTTATACATTCCATAGTCAGTAAACACGATTAAAGATACTATCTTTAGCCGTGCCACAGTCCATATAAATCTATAATCTATGATAACAATTGCTCATTATTTTTGTTATTATATTTTTTGTTAGTTCTTTTTTCATATATTTTTTTCTTGTCTATTTTATGCTTAATTTAATTAAAAAATATAAAAGCACTTTATTATTCAAACTTATAAACCAGTGACAACTGAGTAATTATTTATTTTCAAGCCCCCATTGAAAAATCCTGCGTACGCCACTGATCTTAACTACATGATATCATAAGTTTATAACTATAATTCATAAAATTAATAATATATACTGATTTTGTTGTATATAGATATATTATTATTTTTTATAATATATATTATTTTATTTTTATAAGAGTATTACAATTTTTTAATTGATTACATTTTTTTAAATTTCAAATTTAATTACTATTACTTTGTTTTAAGAATTTTATATTCCAATTTATTTATTTTGCTTGCATTTATTTTTGTTTTAAAGAACATTTGAAGAGAAAACATCTTGCACACCTTAATCCTATTATAGAAACTGAAGAACAATTAGACTCAGATGTACTATCAGCCGGTCCTTCTACTAGTTCTAATTTACAATTAGAACATTCAGTTTCTAATACGAGTTCACAGCAGCCCTGTATTTCACCTATACCTAAACGTTCTCGCCAGTTAAAATTATTTGGTTCGATTAGAGGTAATGAATTATCCAAAGTAGAAAAAGGTTCGATAGACAAAAGTCTAATCAAAATGATTTCTGTTGATTATCAACCACTTTCATTAGTTGATAATATTGGATTTTTGGAGTATTCAAAAAAATTACAGCCTTTGTATAAGCCGCCTAGTAGGAAAACGTTAACTATGAAATTATTACCGGATGAATATAATAAGATAGCTACCATTCTTAAATCTATGTTAAGAAGTGTCAACAATGTTTCAATTACGACTGATATGTGGACATCAGATAGCAATAGGGCTTATTTAACAGTTACGGGTCATTTTATATTTAATGATCATTTATATTCGCCTGTTTTATCAACAAGAGAAATAATTAAAATACATACTGGTGCAAACATTGCTACTTCAATTTCAACTATTTTAATTGGGTGAGGTATTTTAGACAAAATAGTAACAATAGTTTCAGATAACGGGCCGAATATAAAAAATGAACACCTTCATAAATATCACCATCCATGTGTTGCGCATACATTAAGTTTAATTGTTAATGATGCAATTACTTCAAATGAAGAGTTATTTAACGTGCTAAAAAAATCCCGAGCATTGGTTGGGCATTTTAAACATAGTGTTTCCGCGTCTACAAAATTAAAAGAAATACAAAATCAAATGAATGTTCCCGAATTAAAAGTTAAGCAAGACGTTAGTACTAGATGGAATTCTAGTTTGATAATGTTAGAAAGACTTATTCAAATTAAAGCACCGTTATCTGCCGCAATAACATTTCTTCCTCATGCTCCAAATTTCTTAACTGCGTTAGAATGGGAATTAATATCTGACTGTCTTCCGTTATTAAAACCTTTTGAAATAATGACAGTTGAGTTATCCGGAGAAAATTATCCAACACTATCCATAGTTATTCCTTTGATACGAGGACTTCAGAATACATTGAGAAACAAAACGACTACAACAGCAGCAGGTACTTTACTTAAAAAAACAGCAATCGAAGTTTTAGCTAGGCGTTTAGGGATATTAGAATGCAATAAAATAGTAGCAAAAGCTACATTTTTAGATCCAATATTTAAAAAGACAGGATTTAGGTTAGTGGATAATGCAAATAATACGGAGAAATGGATAACAGATGAAATTCATTCTATAATGAAAAATACTCAAGAGAACTGAACATCTAATATGCCTATCAACGGAGAACCTAATTTATTATGGGAACACTTTGATAGTAAAGTTTCCCAAATTAGAACAACCTTATCAACTGGAATCTCGGCTTCTCTCTTAATACCGCAAATTTAGAAATGCCCTATTTAAATCGAACAAAAAACCCTTTGGACTTTTGGAAACAACACAAAAATACATTTCCTGAACTTTATTCGCTCCAGTTAAAATATTTATGTGTTCCCGCGACTTCTGTTCCGTCAGAATGCGTATTTTCAAAAACGGGACAAATAGCAAACGACCGTCGGAACAGACTTCACCCCAAAAATTTAGATTATATTGTATTTTTAAATAGTAATGTAAATTTAAATTTATAAATTAACAGTGTTAATTAACGTTTTTTTTTCTCAATGCAAGATGCAGTTTCTAAATTATTATTAATATATTGATTTTACCTATGTATAATTATTATTTAGTTATTAATATTGTATCAGTTTGAAATATTTTATGTTATGGTATTTGTTTTATATTTTATAATTAAATACTCAAATTAAATATTTGTTCTTTTATATTTTTATTCTTTGCCTAGATACATGTTACAGAAAATTCACTAAAAAAGTAGTTGATAGGTTAGTAAATATGGGTTATATGTATATGGTTGGCACTTGGTACTACTAATTTAGACTTTAGTATTATACTATTATTATTATTATTCGATTATTTTATTATAAATTATTTAGAATAATAATATAACTACCACTAAATCAGTAGCACTAACTAATAGTTCAATTAGTTAGTAACTATAATTATTCGAATAATAAAATAATCTTATAGACTTTCTGTCCAAATTAAGGAATTTATAAATTATTTTTATAGATAAAAACAATTATAGGTAAATACACTTCAACTGAGTATTACCTAATTGTATTATTATTTATTGATAGGTATTAGCCATTAGGTACACTAAATACTATACCAATGAGTAATGACTATTGACAATATTTATAAAACCAATTACTATAAAGTAGTCAGTAGTATACGGGTAGTGACTACTGAGATAAAAAAGCATTCGATTATTGTATCATTCGAATTATTTATTCGAATGATTCATTCGATTATAAAATTTATCGATTACTAATCATTCGATTATTAAAATTATTCGATTATTCCCATCACTAACAGATACCGTGTCGAGGCGCTACATCGCGTACCGTCTCCCCACCGCGCCGAGGTGTAGCATGGCATCGGTGCGGCATCGCTCCGTTACGCCGCCCCTCCCACTACCGGTACCATCACGCGGCGATTCACAATTCCCCATAAAACTAAGGGCGGGCCGCACTATGCGTTTTGTCGGTTGCCGATGAACCGCATCCCGAAGACCGACCACACTACGCGTTTTATCAGTTGCCGATTTAAAAAGCGCGGAAAATATTTTAATTCAAAATTATATGTTCTTGGAAATATTAGACTACTGTGATATTATATTTGATTTCAACGAAATTTAGCTGGTTTATTATTATATTATTACTATATACTGCTAAAGATAGACCTATCATAATAATCAGATTGTAGACTTTTCATGATAATTATATTGTTTTATAAACTAATATAGAATAGAAACCTTAAACATGTATATAATATTTTAAATGATTTGATTTCGACGAAATGTGTATTGGTTAACCGCAACCGATAATCCGCAAGTTTGGTCGGCACAATACGAAATAAAGTGTTTTGAAGTACTTCCCGAAACGCATCGGCAATGCCAAACCGCAACACGTTGCGGTTCGTCCTGACGAGTTTTAAATCGGTTAGCCGAATCGATCAGTGTGGCCCCGAAAATGCGGTTTATAAGTTATTTATATGTTATTTATGGATGTGCGGTCGTTTACAGATCGGTTCCGAATTATCGGCAACCGATAAAACGCACAGTATGGCCTGAGCCTAATTTGTGACGTTGTCGATTGTTTAAAAAATTTACAAATTTACGACACAACGGCTTGTATGCAACGTTGTAAAATTTGTCAGTAATAGTAAGAATATTAAAAAAAAAAAAAACATAAGCAATAAATAATATAAATAATAGACATAAACAATAAACATATACTAACAGTTCTAATAAATATAGTCATCGTATAACATTATTTTGGATTCCCCCAAATACTAGCTTATCTGAAAAGTCTGCAGTGTATAAATATATGTTTTATCTGTATTCATCAGTTTCCTGTTCGATATCCGTTCGTTATATGTTGCAATCGCATTACTATTAATATTATTATGATTTTTAATTTACTACTTATTTTAATTATTAATTTTAACCGTTTTTAAATTATTTTATTTTTACTTCAACAATGGAGTAATATATATATATATATTTAATATTTATGCATAAAACTAAACTACAATATTATTTACGACATAATTGAAATACGTTTTTCCATAAAGTTTATTTTTAATAATTTGTTTTATTTAATATACAATTTATTTATATTTTATAATACATTTAATATATTTATTATTATTCAACCATTTTTATGTGGAATCGTGTTAAATATGGGTTAAAATTTTTTTTTTTTTTGTATTATGAAAATGTGCCGAAACGGTTAGGTAAAAAGGTATATTGTGTGGAATCCTGTGCCGCCTCCATCACACACCACCGACGCGACCGCGCCATCGTCAACTCTTGCCACCGCTACTCCTCGAGCATTTGCAGTCAACAAACGCGCTACCTGCGCATTGCTACACCCTTCGTTTCTACTACGCGCCATCTTATCACCGCGTCATCACTCAGCACTACGGCCGCCGAGAAATGATTCCGTGTTTTAATATTATTGCTGTTGCTGTTGTTGTTTTTGATGTCGGTACAGCATACGCCAAGGATGGGCAACTCAATGTTACTAGAGAGCCAATTTATAGAAAATTAAAATCTAGTGGGCCAGAGCATAGGAAAAAAAAAGTTGTCTGACAAGAATGGTTTTTTTAAGTTGGGCGTATGTATGTACGTATGGAATTCGTTACCTTTATTATCAATTAGGTAACGATAGACTACGTTATAATTATCTGCGTTATCTGTGCGAATAATTAAATTTTTTGAAGTGGTCTTAAACTAATGATAAAATAATGGGCTGCTGAACTCTGATATTGCCTTATGCCTAGTTAACACGATGCATAGTACTTGTCATTAGTATTAGCATTTGTCACTCGTACTACTACTTGTCACTTATACTAATCATCTAGTGGTTACACGCATAACTGATTTTTGCATAGTATTAGTAAATAGTAAATAATAAATAAGTGATAACATAAATATATAATTTATTATTGAAGTGAATATTATTAATTAATTCGTAGTATTATAAAACAAAATATTAAATATTATTCAAACATAATATCAGCTTTAATAGATGAACTGGAAACTTAATTAAGTAAAAAACAAAAACAAATATGAACGAGGAAATGGTTCTTTCGAAGGTAATTCGGTTGGTTTATTAAAATAACCTGCAATAGAAGATATATCAGAATATAAAAGTTTTATGAGGATGACACCAGACCAATTTAAATTTTTGTTACAAAAAATATCACCTAAAATACAACGGGAAGATACGATTATGAGACCTGCGATACCTGCAAAAATAAAATTGAAGCTTACTTTATCATTTTTAACTAACCGGTATCAGTAGCGCAACTAGGGGTGGGGTTTTGGGGTTGTACCCCTCTCCCCCGAAATTTTTCTGAGGTTTTTACAAATTCTACGTAGGAAAAAAAATGATTTATCTTGAAGACGCGAAATGACTAATTGATATGAAATATGAATATTATTCGTATTATAATTGATAACAATAATAAAATGACAATATGAAACATTTTTGAACATTTGAACGTTCCGTTCCAACTTTAAAACATCAGTAACCTTGTTACTACGATTTCTCGATAGTCGATTGTATATTTTTTTTTTTGTGGCATCACAATATGAAATAGAAGTTAAACAGTTTAATTTTTAATTTAAATATTTTACGCCAATAACATCAGTAGATGTAGAACGAAGTTTTTCATGCTACCAAAATTTACTTCCCGATAACAGACGCAGTTACACAGAAAGAAAAATCTAGGTAAAATTAAAAAAAATGACAATTAAATCAACCAAATCATTGTTAATATAGGGCCAACAGACCTGTTTGTTGATTTCAAAATTTACATTTTGTTAATTTATAGATTAACAAACAGTTTTATTAATTTGCTAAAATTCCCGTTTAGTTCAACAAAATGATTTGTTAAGTCTCAAACTCCAAATTTAGTGCATTTTGTTAAATTAACAATAAATTTTGTTAAATTTATAAAGTTTTCATTCAATTTAACAAAGTTGTTGTTTATTTTAACAACTCTACATTTATAGAATTTTGTAATATTAACAATAGTTTTGTTATATTTATACAGTACTCAATTAAATTGATGAAATCCTTTATTTGAAACAATAGAAATATATTGTTGATTCAAATAGGTCACATTGTTAAATAAACACCGCTGTAGCTAGGGTGAGGGGCACAGGAGGAAAGTGCCCTCCTCCCCGCCCCTCAAATTTAAGTTACATTCACTAAGTAACATGTAATAAGTATTCAAATTCTACAAAAACAATAAAAAATACTCCCCCCTCCAAAAAAAAAAAAAAGGGTGGTTAATAAACTCAAAGTTAAAAAATTAAAAGTTAAAAATAGTAAAAAATTGATGGTTATTTTAGCTTAATTCAGAAAACAAAGGTCAACCAGATTTGAAATTACTTTACAATTATTATATAAATAAAATATAAATTTAACTTAATATTTAAAAAAAATTCTCTATTAAAAATAATAAAGATTTTACTATTAAGTGAATATACACTTTGGCAGGTAGACACTATTTCTTTAGCCGTGTTTAATATAGACGTGTTACATATTTTTAAAACTATATTGTTTTTAAATTTCCCTTCTAAAAAGGATTTAAGACACAACATTGCATTTTTCTTTAATATATATTTAATATGCTATTTATATAAAACAATTTATGAAAGTTTTGTTAGTAGTATGATAATATTAACTAAATGGTATGTATGTAATAAGTTGAATGTTCAATTCCAACATCATCCATTTTTCAATACACTATACTAATATTTAATATAAGTACCTAGGTACTAAACAAGTAGGTTATATCTAGATTATAGCCAAATTAAATGAAGGAATTTAGTTATAAATAAAAAAATCACAAATTTGATTGTTTCAAAAAATGTATTTAAATATTTTTTCAAAAATAAAAGTACATAGAATAAGATATTTATTTAAGTTCTGAAATAATTTGTTCAATTGTAGGGCATGATTTATCAAATTTTGATTTTATATTGAAAAAAAAACGTTGTATGAATAGCCAAACATTTCACGAGTCTATCGGGTACTCAATGTTAAAAACATGATATATTTTGAAACATAAATCTATGGCTTTAATAACTGAAAAAAACTTATATTTAATTTCATCAAAATATATAATAATTTGAGATGGATTTGTGATTGTTCCAACTATTAACATACAAGGTTGTATTGGAATTTTTTTTTGTTTTCTAGATTTCATATTTTATTCTAATGCAATGATTGTATTTGCCACCATCATCAGACTATTTTGTGAATCTTTAATTGAACATTTTTGTAAACATCTTTTTCCACTAGAATCGACATAGGCTATTTTGGTAGTAGGGACAAAAAGAGCATGAAGAAGGTACAAGACAATAGAATTTTTGGAATCTGAAAAATAATTGCAACTTAAGTTATATCAAAAGTAAAATGTTTTTTTTATGTACTTATTTCATTAATACATAATATCACATTTAATTAAATTTTTATGATAATACCGCAGTCAACTAACTATATTATCCCAATATCCCACCTGTCCAGTTTGCCCTTAGTTGTATAAATTAATTATATAAACCATCAGTTCAAACAAAATATTATCAATTTAACAAACCGGATTCTTTTAAATCAAATATATTTTGTTTAAATCAATTATAGTATAGTTAATTTAATTCATATATTCTTGTTAATAATTAATCAAAATAATTTGTTAATCTTACTGTTAAAATTTCTTTCTGTGTACAAATTTGAACAAATTAAAAACATTTTAATTTTACCACATTAATTAACACAGTGTAACGCTAATAATGTAATAATTAATAAATAATAATGTAAATTAATGTCAATAAAACGCTAGGTAAATTTAAAAAATGTATTTTAAATTGTAATAAAAAAAATAATATATAAAAATAACTACTAAGTAATAAAAATATAATATTTTTGTTTTATGAATTTTAATATATTTTTTTGTGCATATTTTGGTGTTATTATTGGCTAAAAATGCATATTTTATCATTTTTAGTGCATAAATGCACGCATATTACAGTAGTTTTATGTGCATAAACATCCGAACCCAAGTAATAGGATATAGTTATACCTTCAATCATGTCAGAATAATCGTCATCGATAGATTCAGCGTAGGGTAATTTTATTCCAGACGATAATACGAACGATAACTCAATTGGGAAAACAATAATTTTGTTGTATACCTATTTTTAGAAAGCTGTATAAAATATTATCATTATCTTATCTATGGTGTCAGTTTTACAATTAGTTTGAAAACGACTAGGGAATTTTTAAATAGTTTTATAAATTGTTATCGTTAATTCATAGAAATCCCAATTATTAGGACCGCGAACACCGCTTGGTTTATTCCAATAATCAAAACAAGCATGTCAACATAACTGAATGTCTATTTATAATATCTATTTAAAAAAAACCCAGTATTATAAATGTCGTTTAATTATACTATTGTACTAAATTTCTATCCATTTACATATAAATGATTCAGTCGTGCCACACGAGTGTATGTGGTTAGAACTTTAAATTACGTTTAGACGTTTATGAACCGAAAATAAAGTAAGAACGTGTTATATATTTATTTTTTGTATTATTGTGATTTTAATTTCAAATAATAGACTTATAATATTTGTTTTTTCACACTTGAATATTTTATATACCTATAATATATACTAAACTAGTAATTTTACTATTTAATATCCTAAATAAGCACAAAAATTAATCTAGTTAAAAAATATCTAAAAATATAGAAATTTTGTTTCAATGTACAAGTAGTAAAAACCAAGTAATTACATTTTTTAAAGGTGAGTTTAATTAATTTTTGTTAATCATAATTTTGAATATTCACAATAACAATAATATAAACTAGTAGTTAATATTAAAGTAAGTAATAATAAAGAGTAGTCACACATATGGTTAATACGAGTAATTAGTTACTTAATGTTTTATTATTATAGGCAAGTATTATGGATCCCACCGAATTTTGTTGTATTTAAAAACTAGTTAAATCTATTGTAATATTAAAAATAAAATTAATTTTTCGCAATAAAAAGTGTCATGATTACACTTTATTTTTAATATTTCTAATATTATATTAATAATATAATATATTAATACTGATACTTTCAAAACATAAATTAGTTATCTTTTATTTTTTTTTTTTTTACAGTATAAATGTTTAGAACTGTTTAATAAGTATTACAACGTAAAATGATGTAAAAACATTTCAAACATTAGTATAAGTATATAGGTATACATACATAACAAAAATTATATTAAAAATTATATGGAACAGACAAAAATATATTTATTGAATTTAATTTACTTTTTTATTGTTTCATATGAGAAATAGGTATATTAATTTATTATTATTTTGGGTAATTGTAATGATTAAAAAATAATTTTGATGAACCTATTAATGGCCCCTTATTTGTTTTTAATGGACGCATGTAAACTCCGCCACAAGTACATTTTTTGCTGTAAACTCAGTCAGAAAAAAATAACAGGTAAAATTGGGTTCATGTGAATTCCGCCACTGAAAAAAATCAGGTAAAATTTATTTCATGCAAACTCCGCCAGTGAAGAAAATTAAGTAGAAGTATAAAATGAATATGATATATTATTAAAAAAAAATTATAATATCATATTGTTCACATTAAATATTTAAATCATAATAAAAAAACCTTAATAAATAATTGTTATACCCAATAATTTAAAATCATATTTTTCATAATAATAATTAAAAATCGTCCACATTAAATATTTTTATCACAGTAAAAAAAAAATCATAATATATAAAGCTGCTTACGCACTAGGCGAACTATTCGTTTATAAACAGTATTTTAAATCGCCTGTGTCAACAAAAAGAACCGCTCCAACATATAAAATTAAATAAAATAGCTAACCATTACCTTGTGGTTATTCGTGATGAAAAGCCATTTTCTGTGTTATTTTTTGTATTTTTTAAATAATTTTCAAAAGCACTATTGTGTATAACATTAAATTTAACTACTAAATTTGATTGTATTTTTTTTAATGGAATTATCTAAATTAGATAATGTTCAGACTCCCCAGATATTTTAATAATAAAATGTTCAAGATCAAACATATCACGTCCGCGCGCGGATAAACCGCCTAGTGCAGTGGTTCTCAATCTTTTTATGACCGCGACCCAAATTTTCTTCCAAAAATCTATCACGACCATAGTTTTACATTTACAGAATCAATAAAAATAATTTCAAAAAACAAATTTTTTCTATTTTATTACTTATTTACTACTTTATAATAATAATAATAATAATATAATATAATATAATATATATAATATAATACTTAATTAATAATTAGGCGTATGTGATTAATGTGCTTGTTTCTTACAATCTGTATAGTTAAAAAAACTTCTAGCGACCCACAGTTTGAGAAACGCTGTGTGTAATGTACATAATGGTTATACTCAGGGCTCGGAAGTTAAGCATTTGCTTATTTTTATGGATTGACTTAAAATGCAGCAGAGTGCTATAGAAGTGTATGTCAAGTTATAACACGTACAATTATGAAATTTGAAAGTGCTTTATTTTGCTTTTTTCAGTAATTTTAAAAAAAAATGCTTATTTCCAGTTTTTCTAATTATTTTTGCTTATTTGACCAGTTTTTTTTTTTACGTTTTTATAGTTTTATCCTGCAAAGTCGTTCATGATGGAATTAGGCTAGGTTCACATGGACGCGCGTGCACGCGCGCCAGTTTTTCGCGCGTATTTAGATATATGGATTTCTTATTCATCGTTCACGCGTGTCGATCGCGATAACGACGCAAGAATCTATTTCCGCGCGAACACGCGCGTGACACCGCGGATTGAAATATCATTTATTATTATTGGACCGTTCAATTGACAACGCGCGTTTCGATGCGAACGATCGAATTTTCATCTATAGCTTTTGAAAACAAGTGTTATTTTAAATATGGAAATTGAGATAGATATGTTAATTAATGAAATAAAAAAAGGCCTGCCATCTGGGATATTGTCATCAGCTTCTAAGGAGTCTTTAATTATCTCCAATAGATCATCAAATGATTTAATGGAAATTTTAAAGTAATTGAAAAATTTGTCATGGTGCTCTATTAGTTTAGGATATAATGTAGCACTAAATATAATGTAATGATAATCTAAGACTTAAAGAAAGCCTTGTTTTCAAAATAGGATGAACCCAATATTTCCTTTCTGTCATTTGTCTGCATCTTCTCACCCTTCGGTGGACGGGCAATAAACACACATCATCTATCACATTCATTCTTCATGACAATTTGAACTATACTAAGTAGTATAGTTTGACTAGAACATTCCCGTACAACGCGCGTGACACGCAGCCATCTGAACGGTTATACGCGCGTTCTGTGGCGTGCTAACGCGCGTCCATGTGAACCCTTTAAAATTAAAAATAATTCTTATCTTATCTACGTTGTCGTCCGTGGTATCGTTGTAGGTAGTGCTCGAATTGGGAAAAATTAAGTAGAGGAGCTCAATCCAACGATTTGAAAATTGCGTTCCACGTGCGCAATTATTTGACACAAACCCGTGGGGAGCTTCCTCCTTCTACCCCCTCCACCAACCTTAAAAATATTTTGAATACCACTTTTCAGCTAAACAAATATTTAAATTCCAAGTATAATATATTTTGATAGCAATACCAAAATCCTATATATTACAATAGAAAATAAAAATAAAATAATAATTAACATAGGTAATTGTAGGCGATCAGGCAGTCTCATGAATCGAATGATATAATCATATATTTGGTTTTTGTTTTTATCTATTTTTCCTCTTTAGTGCGGGCCAAGGCCTTAGAAGATTAGTCTAAGGTTGTGGTGAGGGCATTTATTTTTTTTCCGAAATTACGATATCGTCAATATTAATAACAAACCGAACAATGTATAAAGTATAATACACCAAATTCACAGACATTACTATTTATATTTTTCCAGAAATGACGACGTTGTCTCTTATCATAACCATCATATAATCTTAAATTATAAAAATAGTTTTGATATTATAAATCGTAATATTTCATTTTCTAATTGACGTAAATTGAAATTCACATAAAAATTATTTTGGACATCAATTAGGATGAACGTGGCATCTCCCCGTTCCAGTGAAAAAATATAGTTGGGGTACGCAAAAAAAAAAAAAAAAAAGTAGGGGGGGCCCCGTTCTCCTGCCCCCCCCCCCCCCCCAATTCGAGCACTGGTTGTAGGGTTAACAAAGATATTCCAACGCTGAAAATAGAACTGAATGCCAAACATCAGAATGATCAAGAACAGAGAACAGTTTACATTTTATTTTTCAAAAAAATCCTTTAGAAAATCCATTAAAATCCTTAAAGTATTGAAAGTGAAGATTTATTTTTATTTTGTTTAATTTTTTAGTTAGAATTTTATAGTTTTTTTTTTCATATATATTTTTGCTTAATTTTACATTTTTTAAATGCTTATTTTAACGCTTATAATAATGTTTTTAAGCGCTTATTTTAATGATTTTTAGTGCTATAAGTTCCAAGCCCTGGTTATACCTAATAATTCAAAAATATATAGTTATGTCATGTATGTAAACTAAAATGATGTAATACAATGTTTTTTTACTGCATCTGAAAATATACAAATGAGATACAAATCCGTTTCATGACAATGTCAATATAAATCTAAAGCTTAATGGAGCATGTTTTTTGTGGATTAGTATATTTGGTATAGTCGATTTTTTTAAGTTATAAGCGCATATTATTTTATGTAATTTTAAAAAAACGTTTTTCGTGAAAGTTAAAAAAAATCAAATCAATAAATGTTTGAATTCATTTACTTTTCCGAACATGTTTACAAAATCTTAATATTTTTCAGCTTTTAAATATGAGGTAAGAATAAATACTACAGGAACGAAAATAATTTCCAACAATTATTTTTATTTTATTGTCAAATAAAATGATCGAAAATCAACATTTAATAGATGCTTACATTATGTTGGTTAATAATTAATTATTAATTTCACACTGATCATGTTGTCCAGAAATTAACCATTGCCAACATTTTTAAGTTACAATTAGTTTCTCTTGTTTGAATATACATTTATGAGGTACAATGCTTACCAAAAATTAAATTATTACCTATTTATTATCATAAAATGATTACTATAACAATTGAATTTTATACAGCTGTAACAGTTTAAAAAATTTAGAAAAAAAATTAAAACAAATATCACAATAATAATATTACATTAAATATATAGTTAAAAAAAAGATATACTAAAAAAAAAATGTAATTATTTAACATTCATATTAAAAACATTTATATTAATTAACATTCGGTGGTTGTATAAAATAAAATCAGATTTATCACAGAGAAAACGTTGTTGACAGGCATTATCTGTAAAACATATTTAAATAAATAAATGTAAAATTAAATAATTTAATTTAAATTATATTATATACATTAATTTAAAACAATAACTCGTATTTTGCTATTTTGAATTTCAGATGAGATGATTTAATAGTTTTTAATAGTTAAATATCTAATATTAACAAAAAGTTAGTTTTTATGAACTAACCATATCTAAATATTTAAGACAAATTTATGAAAATGGTTGATATAGTTGATATTAGTAACCAAAATTCATAATACAGTAGGTTGAGTTTTTAATGTTTTAATTTTTGCAACAAAAAAGGCATCCAAAATTTTAAGTATCTGTGTCCAGTACAACTTAATTTAAATATTACAAAATTATGAAATTATTTAAACTACATAACTAATATTGTTCAATAAAAATTCGTTGAAACACCCTGTTTCGTCAAAATTTCATTTTGTAACGCTTATAAATAATTTTTGCAAACTTTTAATAATTTTTAATTGACGACAAAGAAAATTATATTAAAAATCTGAAATTGAATTTTCAAGTCTTAATTGTATAGTTTGAAAATGTGGATTTTCGTGATTTTTATCGTTTTGTCAACATTTAATATTCAAACGCTCCTAAAATTGCTTTGTGTAATCAAACCCATTTTTTTTTCATTTATCTGTAATAGATATAACTTTTGTATTATAATACATTTTCTACACTTTTTACCGATTCAAAGTTAGTTTAAGGATATTTAAAAAATAAAGCAAAGAAAACTTGAAATTTTAAATTTTCTATAAATTGGTTAATTTTTTTTTTTAATTATACCATCTCTATCAAATGATAGTTTGAACATTTTGTAATAAACGGGGTAATAAATTTATACTTCTACGATTATTATTTTTTTTTTTTTTTAATAATCAATTAGTAATTTGAATTACTTATTATTTTATTAAATGATTTATTCTATTATTTTTTGAATTACAAAGAAAATAAATATTCAATTTCGTCAAAAATTAATATGACGTAAATTTTGCCGTATTTTTATAATTTTTTGTCAGTTTTTTGCAAAATAACAAAGAAAACTGTTAGGAAATTCGTAAAATGACTCTTCTAAAAATATCAACTAGACAACATTTTCTATACGAAAACTCTTGTGATTGTGATGATCATAGAAATCCATCTAATTTAAATTGTTATTTATAATATTAAATATAATAAATTAGATTATACCACACACCTCTCGCACCTTCCTAGACACGGCCCTGTACCTGACGATGAATTTTTAATTAGAACCGGTCACTCAGTGAACTTTTATCTTCTAGATAAGTAAGGGATTCACCATGAGGAAACAAAGTGAAATTTAAGAAATTAAATTGATAATATATATGTAATAAGATTTATGTTTTTCATAGTTTAAATTTCTAAACTACAAGTAGTGAAACATAAATATTGTATTTATCAAAATTATGTTACAAAAATGCATGGTCAGATCCCTACTCTATCTATTCTAAAGAACAAACTAGAATATTTTAGTCCATATTTTATTACAAGATAATACAATCAATCATATTCCAGTAGTAATAAATATTTTAGTAATATTTTAGACTTAACATCAATTTTTACATATAATCATTAAATACCTAAGTCATATAATTATTTCTCAATAAATTTATTTTTTTATTATTTGTATTATATAATGTCTTTAAAGTGATCTATTCTATTATTATCTATTATTGGTCTGAATTAAATAAACGATACATATCGATAAATTATTTATAAACTTACCTAATTCAGATATACTGACTGCAAATCATTGGTATCGTAAATTATAGATCACACTTCCTCTAAACACGCCTAAGTTTTGTCGTTTGATTGTATCAATTGCTCCATATGTCCGTGATGGTGTTTTTTCGGCCTTAGGTTGAGTTTTACTAAAAACTGGAGTCTTAACAATAGAATTGATAGTATATTCTTCTTTTTCGTTTTCTAGTTCCAACGATTTGATTTCCTTTTAAAAAAAAAATACATTTTTTTAAGAGTTTGTATCGGTCAGTATCCCACTTTGTATGTCTTTATCAACCATATATATGAAATAAGTAACTTCAAATCCCTAATAGAAATTTAATTTATTGATTTTAATACATTTTAATTTAAGAACTTATTAACTAATTTATTACTTAGCCTATTATGTACGTATCAAAGTAAAAACAGTTTATTATACAATTTAAAAATGTTCCTAACAAAAAAAAATTAATATTATCCCACAAATAATATTTTTTATTATAATTTGGTAATACAATATATGATGTATAGGTATACAGTATAAATCAGCGGTTCTTAATCTGTGATCCATGGCCCTCTAGGGGGCACTCATGTCGGGTGTCTGCGATAGTCTTAACATAACATACGTGACATAAGTGAATTAAGTGTAATAAAAATAATTATAAATACCTATGTATGTCTACTAATGTAATTTATTGTATAAAATAATTATTATAGTTTTGTTTTTAATAACATGAGATGTTTTGTAAAAAATAATTTTTAAAGAGGTCTAAAATTTCTAAAAATCTTTAATGAGGGCTTCGTGATCTACAAAAGGTTAAGAACCACTGGTATAAATTATTTATTATTGACACTGCATTCATAGACATAGTACTACGAAATATGTTTTAGTAAATCAAACTTATGATGGATGGAAAATTTAATAAAGTTTCTTATTTGATAAATAAAATAACTGTATGCTATCAACGAAATTTATAAATAAATTGAAAAATTTCTAAATTTGATGATTTAAATACACATTAAATAAATATGTACGTTAAATATATAAACACACCAAAAGGAAATATATTTAATATAATAATAGATTTGTTCATTAAGTAATATTTTGTTTCAATTTAAAGTGCGAGAATATCAAGTTGATAGGAAAGACGAATGGTGTTAAATTTCCTTTATATATATATATTTTACTTACTAATAATGATAAACATTTTTGGTTTCATAAAAATTATAATAATTCGTAGAAAATAATAATAATCATAGAAAAAATAGTTAATAAATAATTATAGTTACAAAGTAACTATAATATAATCACATTTTTAAAAATAAAATACAGAAAATTACTTACATTAAAAATAATAAAACGCTTAATTTTTTTATGCAATTATAAATTGCATTTTATTTTACCAATTAATCAGAGAAAATAACGTTTTAACCATAAAAATTCGATCAAATGCTTATGAAAAATACCGTTTAAAATAACAGAACTTTAAAATATTATTCATTATTTAGAAAGTAAAAGAATTTATAAAGTTGTAAATGATAATTAAGTTATAGTAAATATTTAGTATAAGTTATGTAATTATTAGAATAAATAATGAATACTGAATATTTTCGATAAATATATTTTCACCGATTTTGTGTAATCGCTTCAATAATGATTAAATATACATATTACTTAATTAATAGTATTCACCTGATTAATGGAGTCTATGTCTTTGATAAGTTTCCCTGTATATTTTATCTTTTGTTTCTCATTGTGATGTCCCCAAGATTTGGCATATGCCTCTAAAAGATAATATTTTTCATTTTCGATTAGTTTGATATCTGTTTCTAATTGCTCACATTTGATCTTATATTCAGTCAATTCATTTTTAAGATGACACAACTCTGTTTTCAATCGTCTGTTACCTTGGTCGTGTCTAAAAATAAATAAATAATTTATCACTTTAATTAATATTTATTTTAAAGAATTACGGTTGGCTTACATTCATATAACAATAATAACTAAATATAATACATATTTTAATACATTTCTTAAATATGTATACATGTACACAGATAAAAGATTTCTTGTTTACTATTTAATAAAAATGTAATTTAACCGTTAGGTGTTATAATAAAATATTTAAAAATATTTTAATACGTGTATAATAGTAAAGTATGAAAACATTTAAATGTATATGATACTTAAGAACAAATGAAAGAAATATTTTCTTCAGAGTAAATGCCTATAATGTTTCTTGTTTAATACTGATAAAATCTTAATTTTTCGAAAAAAGTGTTAAAAAATATAATGCATATAAATTATAACTATAATTCAATTACAATTATAAATATATTGGTTAGATTATCTTAAATACTATAATAGCATGTAATTAACTAATTTACAATGCAGTATTTGTACAGTAGGTACATGTATAGTATTTCAACTGACTTACATTTTTATTCTATTGAATGTGTTATTTATATACAAGTCTAAGCTAAAATTAAAAAGGATTAATATAGTAAAAAGTCATACTTGTGAAATTCCATTTGAAGATCTTCTAATTCTTGATCAATTTCTTGTGCTCTTTGTGTTTGTATTACTATTTCTTGACTAGTGTCCATTTCATCCCAATGTTGTTGAATCATCGATTCGTTTTGGTTTAATACTTCTTCTTTCTTTTCAACTTCTTTGATCTCTGTCATAGTTTTAAGCTTAAGTTCTTTTGTACTGTTTTCCAGATCAGCAAGTTCTAATTGCAAACCCATTTTGTGCATATTTAATGAAGTTACTCTATTAGCCAAAAACTGATTTCTTTGAAACAAATCTTTTACTAATTCCCATAATTCTATCAAATTTTCCAAATTGTTTTCATCAGTTTGAGTACTTTTTGAAAAATCGATTTTTTCAACGACAGAATTGCAATCAAGCTGTGAAACACTAAACTGGAAATTACTTACTTCATAAATAATATTTTTCATTGTGTTACTTAAGTCTTTTTCATTTAATAGTACGTCTGATAGTTCTTTACTAGTAACTTCCTCAATAACGCCGATACATTCATCGAGGCTTGATACTAACTGATAGACTACTTCAATTAATGTTTGAGAAACATTTTCTTTTAATTTATTTAAATATGATAATAATTTCTCTCGATTAGATTTTAATAAGAACATTTTATCTGAAACGCAACTGGCTAGTAATATACTTTTGTAAAGTTTTTTTGGTGCATGTTCTTTGCAAATTGTTTGCATCATGTCATGTTTCCACTTGGCTTCATTTAACAATATAGTAAGAGAGTTTATAATTTTCAGTTTTTCTGAGTTGTACAGTTGCAAGTTTTCAATCTTCATTGATTTTAAGTAAATATTTTCTTCCAACTGTACCACTTGATCAATCAAACTATCTATAAAATCTTTAAAGTATTTTCTTTCTACTAATATGTTATCACTAATAAGTTCCATGTTTTCTTCTAACGTGATTGTATTGTTTTTTAAATATTCTAAATCATATAAACTTATGAATATTGTATCACTAAAAAAAATAATATTAACTAGTTTAGTTACTTAAACTGCTGATTTTTATTATGAAATATCAATTTAACCGACCTGTATGTACATTCCGTTTTCATAGAATCAAACGGTGATTTTTGTAGTTCAGGTGTAAGGATTAACTTTTTTCTTCTCAAAATCTATAAAATATTTTTAATTATAAATTAATTAAATACATAATTCTAATTTAGGGTAATTGAGGAAAAACTATGTTTGTATGTATGTATTTGTGTATATGGCTTATTCAATTTCCGTGAAAAAATGACTTATTCTATAAATTAATATTTACCATATGAAGTTAAATTAATTAAATGGTATTTATCGATGACGTGAATTATATATGCTATAGTAAAATAATAAAAAATTAAATTAAAATTTATAAATACTTAATTCTAGTAAATTAATACATAAATAAATAAAGAAATAGTTTATATATAAATAAAATAAATAAAAGATTAGCCTAGAATATTAATATATTTGTAAACTACGAATGGGTTTGAATTAAAAATTCATTGTCAGGTAAATATAAAGTCAATAAAATCGCGACTGAATATGAAAAAAATACGAGTAAAAGAAAATATATATTGAAAAAAACTGGTCGTTTAACATAGAGATTATTTTAATAGGAGAGATTATTTATGAGTTTTTATTAAATTTATTAAATGAGTTCTTATTAGAGATAAATGTTCAAAGAAGTATACATTTTGGTTATTACTATTATCATACAAAATGTATTGATAAAAAATATTATTTTTAAAAAAATCGGTTTATACATTTAAAATATTATTAAAATTAATTTTCTTTACTTCATTGTGTATCTGTAAATATTCTAAAACTGAATTAATGTAATTATTTTATTGGTATTAAATATTTCGAAATCTGTATTCATATTATGGTTATTTTCTAAAACATGTTTGGCTAAATTTGAATTAGAGGAAATCTTTTTATTAATTTTATTTCAGAAATGTATTATAATTTAAAATGTATATTTTTTTTTACCTAAATAAAATATATTATAATTACATTTTGGTATATATATATATAACAGAATTTTTAAAATAACAGGGATTTTCTATGAATTTTTAAATTTTATTACATATATATTTATATATTTATATAAATAAATTTGTATTTTTAAAATTTAAAATAATATAATATTTATATGTTTGATTAATTTATTAGGTATATGGTTCAAAAGCGATTTTTTTATTATTTCTATTATTGTTCAGAGTTTTATCAAATTTTTCAGATATATTATTTTAATATTTCATAAAATAATATTTAGCAACATTATTTCGTAAGTTGTGTTTTATTTTTTCTTAATAGTATTTAAATTGAAAAAATAAAAAAAATAATGTTTTTTGAGAATATGGGTGATTAGAATCATTTGGTAATACATTAGCTTGAGTGGGTTAATTGTAAATTTATTAATTCAATTTTTTTTATTTATTTGTATATAGAGAGTAAAATTAATGATTTTATTTATTTTGTTTAAATAAATTAACTCAATTAACTAAATGTAACTAAATGATCTGTTTGTCTATTTGAACGAACCTCTAAATAAATGAAAGTGGCATCATCATATGTATAATATGCTTTTACATATGGACTTAATATTTTGTTGTTAATAATATAGTTGGTTTAAGTGCTTTAAATAAAAGTATTCTTTTATCTGAAATTTACATGCAAAATTATGAAAACAATTTTATTATTAAGTAAATTAAAATAAAATAATATAATTTTAAAAATAAAAATCTTATATCAATACATTTTAGATATTAATAAATAATAATAACCAAATTATTTATATTTCTTAACATATATTTGTCTAATAAGAATTTATTTTAAATAATCTGTATATAAAACGTCCTTTATTTTTTCATATTCAAACGCGATTTTATTGACTTTGAATGTACTTGATGATGAATCTTTAATTCAAACCCGGTCGTAGTTTACAAATATAATAATACTCCAGTCAAAGTATTCATTTATTTCCATACATAAGCTATATTTATGTATTTCTTTATTTTGTATAACTATTATATAAAGATACAACAAAGATATATAATACAGCAAGATTGCTTGTAAAATTAAAGTTATCATCTAAGATTTCAAAGTATAATATCATTTTTTTTTCATTTTTATTTTAATTAATAATATAAGTTATAAAACTAAAGGGTAATTCTAGAACATTTTATTGTCAAAATATTATATGTAATATATCAAAATGTAAAAAAAAAGAGGATTTATTTATTTAAATTATTAAAAACTACAATAATATAACTTTATGTATTTATTTTTTTAAAGTCTATAAAATACTTGGTATTATAAATTCTACATCTAATTGATCGAATTAATGAACTTTAACATGTTAAAATAAACTAAATCATATTTTAAAACAATACGTACTTACATATGTGACAGTGGCGTATTTTCAAATTTTTCGTAGGGGGGGATTACATTTTTTCAAAAAAAAATTGGAGATGTAATAATATTATAAAAAAAAAAAAATGAAGAGTTATTTACAATGAATATATTATAATTATATTATATTATTACACAGTTAAACCTCAATTAACCGTGTCTCGGTTAAGGATGATTCACACTAGTCAGACACCGTCTACGGACGGTACGGTTCCGCAAAATATTCTATTATGTGTTTTAATTTAGGTAATTCACATTTGAACGTTTCTGTTCCGTTCATACACGTACCGATTCGACAGAGTCCGTTTGGCATTCTGCGCGAGAATGTTTTGTCGGGACGGCTCATGTTGAACAGGTGAGTGACATAAGTGTGAATGAACAACAGACATATTCGTCTGCTCTTCATATTCACTGGAAAACTATTCACGTTCACAAACTTTTTAAGTATATACTTATAAAGTTTTCATTTATTTCATTTTTTTATATTTCTCATACGTGATGAATCTAGAATTATGAATTGAACTCGTCAGAGACCAAGAATGCCTATATGCATTTTCACATAAAAAATATAGAGAACATGTGTACAAAGAATTCTGATGGAAAAATATTTCAACTTATTTAGGCATACCTGGTAATATTAACTAAAATATATAATACATTGACGGACAACACAATGAAAGTCGGTACGTATATTTGAACGGTATTGTACAGTGTTTGTCGTTACGTGTCTAGTGTGAATCATCCTTAACCGTGCTCTGCCAAAATTATCGGTGTTCGAAATTATTCGCCTAAAAAGTTTTATTAAGTGGCATGAACATATTTTTTTATTACGTACATAATACATTATCGAAAAACGTAAACGACCTTTTTAACGATAAAAATATAGCCATATACCTATGTCACTTATGATTTCGTTTTATTAATTGATTTTATTATTATATTTTTTACGTTTTCGTTTTTTTTAATTGTTTTCGTTTTTCATTTTTTTTCGTTTGATAACGTTTTTTAAAAACATTTTCAAAAACGTTTTCCATCCCAGATACTTATTGTTAATGTTGGAACTAATAATACTGATTATACTAAAATGTAAGCAATTTTTATATAGAACACAAAAGGCTGATGTATCTACATTTATTTGTTGTATTTTTAGTTTTTAACTTTATTATTATAGGTAGGTAACGGTAACCCACTGTTTGATGGTTAGATATTTTGTAGATCTTATATAATGTTTATTTCAAAAAGGGGAATTATTATTTTATATTTATTGTTAATTTTGGAACTATACAGACTTATTTTATTAGAACTTAAGTAATTTATAGTATAAGACACAAAAAACTAATGAACATACATAATTTAAACATTAAATAAGATATTATTTATTGATAATATATTATAGGAATAATTATAATAATAATAATAATATAAACAGTTTAATGTAAATAATAATAATAATAACATATATTTTACAACATCACAGATTTTACATAAAAAATATAAAAATTGAGAATACAATTTATGCAGCACCCCAATAAATAAAGTTTGTGCTGGGGGAACAGTTCTTAAGAATTTAAATTAGAAAAATATAATACATTTGGTATTAATAAAAAATAAAAATAGTATGTATAGTCAATTATAGGAATATAGTAGAATTTTCATATTATAATATTATCATTGATTATTCTATAATCAATAGTATTATATTAAATTATAGAAATATTGTTATGTAAATTTAATACATGTTGTAGTAATGAATTAACTTAAACATTTTAGAAAATAATAAAAATTACATAAAATAACCTTTAACCATAAACTAAATATAAAAATTTAATGTTTACTATTCTGACCTTGATACATTTTTCGAAAATTTTAGATAATGTTAAGGATAAAGGGATTGGTCTGTAATTACCACACAATAATATATTACCTGTTTTAAACAAAGGTATACATTTTTTAATAGTTGAAGGATATTTTCCAGTTAATAATGATTTATTAAAAATTAATGATAGTGGGAGGGAAATCAATACATACGATTTTTTTAAGTATACAATTTCTTAAGTCATTTTCATAAAAGAAAGTTTGATTTTTAATTTTTTTTTTAGAAGGTTTGTAATTTCCTCTATTTCAATTGGTTTAAATAATATGGTGTCTTTGGAAATATTATTTTCAGTTACGGGTGCATTACCGTTAACTGAATGTTCAGTGTCCAAACTTGAAGTAACATTTATGAAATAATCATTAAGTATATTATACATCTCAAAATTAGATTCACTAATAATACACTAATAATATTTATTTATAATCTTATTTATTTTATTTATATTTTTATTTGGTTTTCCTATGATCTCATTTATAATATTCCAAATTTGGTACTTGATTTAGAACTTTCTAATCTGTTTTGATAGTATAATTGTTTGGATTTTCGCAATAATTAATTTAATATATTTCTGTAGGAAATACAATATTGTTTGAAATGAGTATCAAAAGGTCTGGTTCTTAATTCAGCTGATAACTTTTCTCTATTTTTTATAGAAATAATAATTCCAGAAGTACTCCATTCTTTTAGTTTTAAAAAATTGTTTGATCTATAGTTTGTATCAGGAGAAGATGAGTAGTTAATGATCATTTAGTGATTTATATATGCAAATTAGTAAAAATATTAGGATGCCAACTTTAAAGTACAATATATACTTAAGTATAAAAATAATTAATAATAAATTTATTTGTCTTAATATCCATCGTTATTTTGTTTCATTTTAATTTCCCCCATCAATTTTTAGTTGCGTACCTACCTATATTGTATTATTTACGTCAGCCCCAATCTTAACTTATAGCCGTTTTGAAATTATTCATTGAGAAAATAACATAATAGGTACACATTTAATAATCTACTTAATAATCATACAACATTATACATTTTTTTCATAATTCGTTTAATAAAAAAATCTCGATTAACCGTTCCATTTATCCGTGTTACCCTTCCCCACCATTATCCCGGATAATTGAGGTTCTACTGTATTATTTTTAAATTTAAAAATGTACCCTCCCCCCAGAAATAAATCCTGGATGCGACACTGATTATAATAATATATATTATTTTTTAGATTATTATCATATATTATATTATTTACATACATTTTGTATAATTAAAATAAAATTTATAAGTGAAAAAAATGTATTTAAATTTAACAAATTTATTTCAAGGACCTGTCAAGTTAAAAATAGTTCGACTGTATATAGATAATAGATATACTATGAAAAGCTAATAAGAATATTTAATGTAACTGTTAATATATTTTTTGATTTATTCTATAAAAAAAATTAAGAAATACAATATTAAAATATACTAGAATTATTTCGATATCAAAAATTATATCTTTTTTGAATAATTTTTATATTATAATTTCAGGCGTTTTTAATGGACATATTTACTAATAAAATAAATAAATTGCAAGATGTGTTTTCTGTTATTGGTTGCGACAAAATTAATTTTCCTCAAATTGTGCTTGTGGGAACGCAGAATTCTGGTAAAAGCTCAGTGTTAGAAAGCTTAGTTGGCAAGTCTTTTCTACCTAAGGGGATTGGAATGGCTACCAAAGCTCCGTTGGTTTTACAAAGAATAAGGTACAGTAATCAAGATTACGAAGAATTATTAAAAAAAACTGGGAAAAAAACAGTTGATGAATGGGTTATATTTGATGACAAGCCAAACGAAATATTATTCGATTTTGATGCAGTTCACGATGAAATCAAAAAAAGAACTAATCAAATAACTGGCAACAATAAATGTTTAACCCGTGAACAAATCGTTCTGAAATTATACACACGCCACTACAACTTGACGTTTATTGATCTACCAGGTATGAAAACAATTTCAGAGGATAATCAACAACAAGATCTCGATCAACAATACATTTCTAAATTAATATCACACTACACGGAACAACCTAATTCTATAGTATTGTTTATCCTATCGGCTCATGAAATTAATAATCATGCTAATAATGAAAATCTTAAAATTGCGAATTCTTTTATAGGAAGAACTATAGCCGTAGTCACAAAGTTAGATTTAGTCGATAGGAGTACATTAATAGATAGTATAAATATATTGGGTAGGATACTAAATACAAGCACACGGAAACCAAGATATTAATAGAAAAAACTCCATTAAAGAGACTTTGAGGTATGAAAAACAATTTTTAAGAGACAATTATCCCGATATTTATAAAAATCATGGCCACAGATCATTGGTCTGCCTCCTGCAGCAGAAATTAATTGATCACATTAATGAAACGTACCCAGAATTACAGAAAAATTTTTACAGTTTTAGAAGTAAATTAGTTAATGATCTCAGGATCTTCGAAACGCCAGTCAATAAGGTTTCATTTGTTTTGAAACTATTAAAGGATATGTCCATATCGTATTGTGAAACAATTAATGGTGATCAGAAAAATATATCGGAACAGGAAGTGATTGGTGGAGCTAAAATCCAAAATAGAATAAATGATTTTATTTTTGAAATTAATATTATTGATCCAATAATTAACACAAGTAACGAAAAAATAGATACAATTTTAAAAAACACATCAGCGACTAATGAAAGTTTTTTCATGAATGAAAAAACTTTAAAAATATTGATCAGTAGTAAAATAAATCTGTTAGTAAACCCATCATTAAACTGTGTAAAGTATGTGTACGATGAAATGTTAAAAATGTTTGATACCATCGATCAAGACATTTTAGAGAAGTTAGCAAGATTTCCCCGACTTAATAAAGATGTAAGTACCTGCCTACCAAATAATAAAAATTAAATTTATTGTTATACATTTCTAAAAACAGTGATATTTCTGTTGATTGGTAACTTGGTAATTTTAGTTATACTAAACGCAATATTGTGACAATTTCATTGAAATAAAAAATTTTTTTTCGAAAAATAACTTTCGATCTGTGAGTAATAAAAATAAAAATAAAATAGATTATATTATCAACTTTAGTTACAAAATAATAAAAACAAATCGTTGAGTTTATTCAAGTGATTCACTAGAACAGGAGTCTTCAACCTATTTATGCACCGGGCCACATATTATTTTTTAATACTCTTGCGAACATTCCTAGTAAAAACATGTATTTTATACAAAAATTCAGTTTTATTATTACAATTTATATGATTACATTTTAAATTACAAATTATTATTATTGATAAAGCATATGCAGTGATTACATATTATTATTATTAAAACATATACAAATAATCATTTTTTTTAATTACAAATTTTTATTTTATTTTTAATGTGAAAATGACATTGTTTTTCACTAACTAATTTGTCTATATTTAGTTGGATCTGACACGATGAAATTCTGAGTGAATTTTTCAAGTGATTGATAGTAAACCGAGCTCTAGTTTTCGATTTGACAATTTGTCATGCTTATAATGCTTAATTTCAAATGTGATCGCGGGCCGCATATTATGACAGGGCGGGCCACGGGTTGGAGACCTCTGCACTAGAATAACCCGAAACTTTCAATAGATCAAATTACATTTAAGACGTCTTCAAATGTATATTTGTATAAATTTATTATATTAAAAAACTAATTTCAAAAACTTGAATTTTTTTTCCTTTCTATTTGACCGTATGACAAGACATTTAGTATATAGTATGAAAAAAATAGGATAAAAAATAATTGAAAATACAAGGGTGTATTTGAGGGTGGCGAAGGGGGTATTCGCCCCTCCCCTATGGCTCGTATTTCTTTTTTAATATAATACATTGATTTATTTAAAAAATGTAATGTATAAATAATTAAGAATATAAATTAGTAATCTATCATTATAATATGATAATGAATTCAATAATATGTCAATTTGATCACGGGTATCAATTTTTGTTTATCATAACATTTTTGGTTGTGGAACGAATAGTGGTATTATCTTCCACGGATATTGCTATGGTTATAGACATTTACAACCATAACCGAGGTATTTATCAGATAATATAAAGTAATTTAAAGTAACAATTTTTTTACCACATATTTACTAGACATTTTTTGGTGCATTTATGCATATTGTATATTTTTTATTTATTAAAGCTATATAAGTCCTTAGTAATTTTACTTGCCTATTTTTTTTTACAACATAATATCTGGTACTTTTTGTTATGCATAGGTATTTTTCATTTTTTTTTTGTGCACAAATGCATGCATATTTGTGTATTTTATAGAGTTAGAAGCCCCTAACCCAAATAATAATCATAATAACTGACAATAATTGTTTCCATATTCTTTAACTTGCAAATATTGGCCAAAAATATATTTTTGTAAATTGAAAACATGGTTAAGATCAAGAATAAGCCAGCATAGACTAACAGGTTTGGTTTTGTTGCATGTGCATAAAGATATTATTGTATCCATTGATGAAAGAATCAACAAATTCGCCAAAATGAAAAAAAGAAATTTGGAATTTGTTTTTTGACTACTTACCAACCTAATGTTTTCTACTTAGATATTTGTTAAATTAAGTTACCTATCATAATTGTTTTTTAAAGTTTTTAAAAAATAATTAATAGGTACTATCACTACTATGATTATTAAATAATCATAGTAGTGAACCAACAAATGTTGTTGGTTTTTTAACAACAGGATTTTAAACAGGATTCAGACTGAAAGTACAATTTTAATATAAGAACTATTTTTGTTGTTATTATTAATAGTTATTTTATATGCAGTAGGTTTTAAATATATTTATTAAATAAACATTTAATTAAATTTAGTACTTGTATTTTTATTTATTCACTCGAATGAGTAACAGGATATGAGCTGTAGGTAATGAACTGTAAATTATTTTTAAATTTGTATTGAAGAAAAATTAGTTTCGCCCCCCCCCCCCATGGACTCAACTCAAATACGCCCTTGCAATGTATTAAGTTCTTAGTTTTATTTTCAAATATGATAGTATAATTATATAGTATTTTATAAATAGTATGTTAAATGCGAAGAGAAAGTAGTATTTGATTTTTCTATAGTATAAACAAAATAAATACTTAATTTAAACTATAACCGAATATCATTATTTAGATTTTTGTTCAGTAAAATATTTTTAATTTATGTTATCAGGTAAGAAAAGTTCATGAAGAAATTTTGAACGAAACGTTAGACGATGTTCAATATTTCATTCAATCATTCATTGAAACGTACCAGGAGAGTATTGATTTATACAACTCTGATTTCATTGACAATGTTTTACATAATTATATTAATCCGAAAACGCAATTGAAGATTTCAATTCATGCTGCAGAACTCATATGTATGACATAATGACCAACATAAGTGATAAGGAAGATCTTAAAATGTTGGGAAAATATTACTTCGAACTCATTTGAAGGAGTGTGCGAGATTTCGTACCCAAACGCATTAAACATAAGATGTTACAGACAGTTTTGACCACTTATGAGAATCGTATGCACCAGGAAGTGTTCGTGCCATACATGACGGAAAAAGCATTCGACCATGTTCTATTTGAAGATGAAAGCTTAAAAAAGTTAAAAAAGTTAAAGCTTAAAATGTTTTTTCTAAAGACAAAAGAAATGTTAAAAGCCGTCGATGATGCATTAAAAATAGTTATATAAATAAATAATGATATGATTAATCAATAAAAAAAAGAAAATTATTTAAATATTTTATTTTGTAATAAATAAAATATGCGATGTATAAACATGTGGTTTATGATGGTATTTAAAGTTGTAATATGACTAATAACTATAATGTAAAACGAAAAGAGTTTGAAAGAAGTTTTATCGATTTGTTTTTGATTTTTTTTTAAATATGTTTAATAATTTGAAAGTCTCTGAACTTTAAGATTTTATACTAACCACTTTTTTAATTTTTTTAAGTCTGTAATTATTAATATATTATTAAATTATCAAATGAATTTATTGTGAATGATGTGGACTTGGGACCTTGCTTTATACATCAACCTACTTATTATAATTTAAACTTATAAATACTTAAAAAGGTAACTTAATATTGAAATATAGAAATATTCAATTTGATGAATCTATATTTATTATAAACATTATATTATTTCCAAAATTAAACGTGATTGTTTCGAATTATTTTTGTATCTAGGCCTAAAATAATAAAACAATGAGGTGTTTAATGAAAAGCCACTAGTTAAAAAAAAATAATAATAATATCATATATATACTCGTATGCATATACACCAACGTTATTCTTAAAACTTGATAGATTGTAGAGGTAACCAATAGATTAATAATTTTATGAATTATGTGTCGAGTTGATTGTAAATGTTGCATACATTTTAATACTATAATATGCGTTTCTACTGCAGTTGTTGGTGGCAACAATTTTAATAATTACATATAATATGTATTTTTAATATTATTTACCTTATTTTTTTTACAACTTCATCTTGTATAATATCATATAAATACACGCTATTGTGCTCGTTCAAATAATCAATGCAAAATTATACTAAAAATTATGCCTATAAATATTTTACTCTGACTACCAGATCCTAATCTAGGGAAGATGAGGGGAGACAAGTGGGTCTGCTTACTCCAGGGACTGTTGGTATAAGGGCTCACTAAGGTTTATGAAAAATATAAAACGTCATGATCATATCCCATACTACCTACGTAAGAACGTTGTATTTTTAATAATTCCGGGCGTCACATTTCCTAGATCCTATACCAGTCACTAAAAAGGGTTGACACGATTTTTACGCTAATTAAAATGTTATCATAATTTTAGTTAGATATTAAATACATCAATATAAGATACAATATCGGATAATTCTAGGAAATAAGTAATATTTTCTTACTTTCATAATACGTAATAATATGTATCATGTGTAATATAATATGTAATAATATTATATGTTAATATATACTCGTATATATGCATTGTTGAGAATTAGTGATTGCATTTTAAAAACATTATATCTTCAATAGTTCCAATTTTAAACTAGGCGTACCCAAGTGCGTAAGTAAAGATTATATATGGAGTAAGATTTGATATAAGGTGCTGGATCACCCATTGGGCAGAGTAGGCGCCCGCCTTAGGGCCTCGCTCATTTAAGGGGCCATGTGAAAACGGAAAACTATATTTTTTTTTTTTTAGTTAATAATACTTTTCAATTAATTTGCCATTATGACTACAAAAAATTACATTTTACAAAAAAATATACTTCAAAGATATTCTCGAAGAGTTTACTGCAAAAAAAAAAAGAGTTAATATTTGAAAATAAGTTTTTTTTTTTTTAACTAAGAATTACAATTTATTTTAAGATTTTTTTTATAGTTCATTAAGAATCATAAAAAAAAAATAGAAATAACATAATAATTAATTAATTTTTCTTGCAAATAAAAAAATTTAATAAACGTGATTTTATTTATTAATGATAGTTGGTTATCCAATAATTAAAATAAACAGCTTTAATTATTGGATAGTAATTTTAAAGATATACATAAAAAAATAATTTTGTAGGACTCAAAATTTGAATTGCCTAGATGCCCACAAATGTTTAATCCGGCACTGTTGATATATTTAGATAATAACCATTTTTATTATAACTTATTTATTTATTAGCTGGGATAGTTCGAGTATCAACTCTAAGTTGCTCAACTTTAAACTCGTCAAAAAATGTCGACGATAATTATTGAAAGGTATGGATAAATATTAAGCACTCGAGCGAATATGTTTAAGCGGTGGATTGTCGAATATGTCGCAACATCTATGTTGTGAATAAAGCTAACAAACAACGAATGACATTGTAAATATTAATGAACTAATATTTAATAGAAATAAAGAATGCATTTTCTTTAAAAAAAAAAAAGTTCTGAGTTCAGTGTAGCCAATTAGGTATTTTATCGTTTTAATAAATAATAATTAATAGTTAATTTATACTTTTTTTTATTTAAATGGGTATTTGGGAATCGAAAAATACATTTCCCAATATTACCTTAAAAATATAATATTTCTAGTAATTTACTCGAGTAAATTACCAAAAAAAATTAATTACCGGTAATTTTACAACACTAGGTAGGACGACATGGTAGAATTAGAATATTTACTTAACGATCGAGCAGACGTCAAAAAGCCGGGTCCGCACCGAACGCCCAATGTTGCTGCAATATTTTACCGCCCGTAAACATTCTCGCGAGAACAAGCGTCCATACAGCACGTAGAAATGTACGTCGCAACGCGATCATATGTTTCCCAGCCAGGGCCGGCGTTAAGGGGAGGCAAAACTGGACATTTGTCAAGGGCTTCGCGCTTAAAATTTGAATTGCAAAATATTTTGTATGGAAATAAAACGGGAAATGCATGGCGAATATGATTTCTTGAGAAATTCATAAATCATATAACAAAACAAATTAACAGAAAAATATTATATTAAATTTAATATGTCATAAATGCACCAACGACGGGTCGTACAGCACGCCACATGGTATGAAAATCGGTATACCTAGAAAGTCTATCTTATCGCATTTCTTAAATTTATTTATTTATTTAAATTTAGTTAATTCAGTTAAATTTAATTACCCGATATGGGGCGTGCAGCTGTCACCGAGTTTGATTACATATTATCGTATTTAATTACGGCCTACAGGTGACTACGGTTATTGGTAAATAAGTTTTACTCAGGGCCTCGCAAAAGGTAGCGCCGGCTCTGTTTCCAGAGCTTTCGCCAACGTTGTTCGCGTCGAACATCGAGCGCATTTCCCATGGTATCCCGAACGAACAACGCAACGTGCAAGAACGTTCTTGTTCACGCGCGGACTAGGTTCACACCTAGGGCCGTCCCGAAGATGAAAATTAAGATAGATTATAGGTAGTATAGATTAAGGTAGATTATATGAAAAATGCCGATAACAATTTTTTCACTCAATGTATGTAGTATAATCAACTATTTATAGTCGTATTTTTACTTTTTAACATGTACATATGTGTCAATGTCGCACGTTATTAAAATTGACAATTTAATTATACATATATATATATTATTTTATATTGTATAATAAGTAGTTTTATAAATTTTATTCGTGTATAAACTGCATTACGAAATACGTAATATTTGTTTTCCGCAAGTAAAATTTAGTCCTTCTAGGCTATAATGAAACAAGTTCGACTGCCGACTAGTGTTTTCGTTGGGTGGAGGAGAGACCCCCCTTCAGGATGGCCCCGTCCACACCGAACACGGTAGAAACATTGCGAAACGTTTCGCACGTTTGGTGTTAACACGGCCCTGTACACCAGTTGTCGTCGATACGTACCTGGTGATCGTGGCCAACCGCGGACGAACGACTTTTTCCGACGGGTGCGTTTCCGTTGTCGGCAGTCTCCTCCGCGATCGGGTGTTGTCGTCCCATGGTCGAAGTCATCGAGCACCTATGATATTGTTACGATCTGATCGGATCCGAAGTGACACCGTATGTTTATCGACTCGACACACGCAATAATATTACAGCGCGCTAATGCGCTGGTTTCACTTCGGTATCTAGGGGAAAACCACGTAGTATTTTGTTACGTACCGCGCCCGAGCGTTTTGTCGGGGAAGACGGACGCTGTACCTGATAATGATGACAATAATAATATTGATGACGACAAAACTTAGCGATGCGACGCGAACCGAATATATATCGAAAGATAATATCTATAATATATACGTGCACACGAGTCGTACAACCGATGCGTGTGTATGTATATAATATAATAATTATCTTATAATCCCGTTCGCGATGACGAAACGCGTGGAAGTTGAAGATGTGCGAAGGGATAAAAAAAAAAAATAAAAAAATTTACGAACCACGATGTCGACAGTTGATGCACGGAGATTTCGAACGAGCATGAAAATCGCCGGGTGATCGCGAACTATGACGAACAGAAATGCGGTTTTCGTGCGGGACACGACGAAAAGATAAAATAAAATGAAATCGATAACCGTTCAATAGACATAGTAGTCATTATTATTATTATTATTATTATTATCATCTGGTACTGTAGCTGTCGCGGCATAAAACGATAGCCGTACAAATATCGTTTTCGGACAAACTAGTGACGGTGGGTTATATTTAAAACAATGTATTTCGATAAACCGGTCGTCGAGTGAGGCAATGTACTGGGACACATATCTAAAACTTAAATTATCATTTATTATTATTATCATCGCACGTTGTTATATAACATCGTGAAAACTTTACCCGGTTATACATGTACATTTTTCTAAATTTTAGAACAAATAAATAAAGAATGTAGAATGTTGCATTTTTGTTACACAACTCACTGGATCTGTGTGATCCTTTAATTAATAATCATTAGGGCAGAGGATTTTAGGCAGCTCTATAAAATCACTAAATAAACGCAAGCACATATTATGCACTTCAAAACCCTATAGTATGTGCTAAAAATATGCTATTGTATTTTTTTTCAAGTGATTTGTTTAAAAAATAAATTAACCATTTAAATGTTGCGTAACATTTAATCGTTTTTCGCGTCCTACTTTTCCGTCACAATACTTTGGCCGTCCTCCCAATAGGGCAACGCGACGCGGCGCGACGTTGACGCGACTAAAAAAAATAGTTGCCTAGCAAAAAATCGTACGATCTGATTTCGTGAGTTCTGCACACTATAGACGAAGTTTCAGCAACTAAAATTGGTCAGTTGCAAACATGTCGTCCTTTGAAGATGACGATGCCATTGCATTATACTGGTATTATCAAAACCACAAGAAACGAAAAACGAAAAGGAGATATTGGGTACATCCATACATACAGAATAATATTAACGCCGGCCCTGCAATTTAAAATACTTTATTTGTTGTGTAAAAAATGATCAAGTAGCAAGTGTGGTATAAAAATGAAAATTGTCAATATAATATATTATATAGATAGCATATTAAATGGTAATAGAAAAAAAGAAAAAAATAATGGAGCAATTTATGTCATAAAAATACAAGAAATAGCAGGAAAGAAAAACGAAAACGTTTATTGACTGCTGTAACTGAAAAAATGGAAGGTTATCGCTAGTAACTAATAGTATTGTTAACATACTAGTGTTAAAAAAAATTGTAAATATATGTTATTAAATATTATTTACTTTACTTACTTTTATCAATAACAATTAAATTTGGATTGAAATATTTTTTTTGTTATTTTTATTACATCAATTGTAGTCAAGTGCGTATACGAAAAATATATTTCGTGGAATTTTAGATTGTGCATTTTCATACTTATATAATCTTTATAACACTTTTACTCTATAAAAACATATTTAATAATTTTCCTGATTTCGGGTGAGGGTTTTTAAATCCTTAAACCCCCATTGTGTACACTACTGAATGTAGTATTAAGATACCTCATTCTCATGGTAGTTAATATAATTGTATTAAATCCTAATTTATTGGTCAAAAATCTATACTTCTGATAAAAATAATAATATTTTCATTCAGCAGTATGTTTCATAAATTTGGTAATATTCTGTTTTAGGTAGGTACCTAATAATACAATTAAGATAGAATACCCACTAAATAATAATATACCTAGAAATTATATTTTATGTAATACAGGGACCTTCATCATATATAAGTATCCTCAAAAATCTACTGTAGATTAGTAAGATTCAATTTTTTTAATAATGATAATAGTAAGGAGTTCCTTAGTACCAAGGCTTGGAACCTTTATAATTTTTTCGGTTTCGATTTTAATTAGGTTCTTCAAAAAAAAAAAAAAAAATTGGTACCGGTTTCGGTTCTAGTTCTTAAAAATTATATAACTAAGGTTCTGGTTCTGATACCGGTTAATTACGGTATTTAAAGGGTTATTTTTTTCAAAAATCATAAAAAAATATATTATAAATATCATATATACTATTTAAAATTATAAAATCAAATTATAGCAGTCTTATTAGGTTAAAGGGCTTACATAATAAGTTTAATATTTTATTTTAAAAACACCCAAAACAAATTTTAAAAAATACGATTGACTCATATTGTATGGAGTATTATTAATAACATATGACAAAATCGAATTATATTTTCTTACTATCACATATTATTATTTGTAATACTAATAATTAATAATTAAATAATAATAAAAAATTATTACTGGGTACTAAATTATAAGACATTATAGGAGCATTATCTTACTTGATGTTGAAGCCCCTTAATAAGAAACTTTAATATTTAATATATTAGAAGATTGGAATATAATTTATTTTAATTTAGACTAAACATAAAAAATAGTATTGTTGAAGGTATAAAACAATAGTGCGCAACCTGGAGGTCCCAAAATTTTAATAGGGGTCACCAAAAGTTAATCACCTAATTAAAAAGTGTTATACTAATATTTAAAATATTGTATATTATACATACCATGGAATACTGGTTGGGATTGCCACATCGAAATAAATACATTTTGGGGTCATGGATCAAAAAAGGTTGTGTACCACTAGTTTAAAAACTTTTAAGTCTTAACTCTAACAATTAAAGAAACTGTAGAATATTGTTCTATAAAGTCTTAAATCATAATATATTTTATAATAATTACAAATAAAATATAACATCAATTTTTTTCAATTTTTTCTCTTTTTTTTAGACAATTCAACATTTTGTTGTTCTTGTTCCGATTTGGATAATCTATATGTAACATCTGATGGATTTTAAATACTTGTTTTTCTACAAAAAAATTTATTTACGTAGTTAATATTATATTATATTAAATTACTAAGATATACAAAATAAACGAAAAAAAATGTATACATATTTATTTTCAAACAGCCTGTTAGTTCTAACCAGTAATTGATCTTCTAAATTTTTAGATAATAGACTCGTTCGATAAGATGACAATATGAATTTGAGCTCAGAAAACAATCTCTCCATACTTACTTGGGTAGAAGGAACAGAATAAATTATTTTTGCTAATTTGGCAAGCTCTAGATATGTGGTTTCCATTTGTTTCCAAAACTTCAAAATGTCCAGTTTTCACGGACTTCCGAATAACAACCAGTGGCGTATCCAGGGTTTATTTAACGGGCGTGTTTTAAAATTTAATAGACTTATGGTAAGTAGAGCCTCTGCCCCTACCCCGTATTACATAAATAATTACCATGTAATTATATAAATGAAAATTATTACATTAAGACAGCATGTGAAAAATCTATAAGTTGTATACAACGTTTATTCAAATAATCAAAATAAGTTTACAATTTAGTGAAATACCATAAAATAAGGTCGATGGGGGTGTTCTAACACCCATATCAACCCCCTAAATACGCCCCTGATAACAAACATCGAATAATTCTATAACATTATACGAATGTTTATAGATATTAGTCCATGATAATAATTTATACATTATATGGGTGTGTATTTTGATCATTATAATTATTTTATTACTTATCTTACTACAACATTACTAGACGTCGTCGGCCAAAACTATTAATAATCATAATGACAGGTTTTTCCAACCTACGGCGATGTGCAAATAACAATTAACTATTATTATTTATTAGCTAAATATAAAATATAAACAAAACTGAAACCGAAAAATTATCTTCAGAAAAATATCAGTTCCGGTTTACGTTTCAGTTCCTATAAAAATCAAAAAACGGTTCCGGTAAGGTTCCGGTTCCAATATTTTCAAAAGGTTTGGGTTAAAATACCGGTATTTTTAATTTCAGTTCCAAGCCCTGCATAGTACTATAAAATAATATTGGAGACCAATAAAAATATATTGTCACATATATATCATAAACACATTAATTATTAGGTATGTAAACTTTCTGTGTCTAGTATCTTCAATACAAAGTTAATTGCTAATTTTGCCTTTTTTGTTCTTCAGTCATATTTCTATATTAAATTTACGGGTAAAGATTATATGAATTATGGTTATATTATATGAAATGAAAAAAAATTAATCCTCTCGTTCAATAACATTTTTATTTACTGTATATTTAATATTTAATTTGTTATACTAGATATTAATTATTTATATTTATATACATAAACATATAATCTAATAGTTTGCATGTACAACTTCTTTGAAAATATGCACTTTATTCTATTGTATTAAATATTATCATAATCCAAAACAAATTATAGTTCATACTGAAATACTATTATAGTATGCAGTAAAATACAATAATATCTGTTTTTAGAGAAATAAGCAAGATAAAAAAATATAATCATGAATATGGAACTATTAAATTATATAAAAAAATGTAATAACAAGTGTTAATAAACATAATATAAATAGTAAATTGCCCGTTCATGCATATATATAAGTTTAGATAATTATTTTTCTTATACTGTTATTTTTTGTATCAGAATCTTAACTATTTGCTTTTTGGCATTCACTTATGTTATCATTGTACACTTATTTCTATTACATAAATTGTTAAGTTTTTAAGCCATTCATTATCATTTTTTAAAAAATCTGGTGCATAACTAATTTGAGTTCTGAAAGCATTAAAATCTTGTACAATCTAATATAAAAATTTCAGATTCATGTGATATAAATTATTAGAGATTTCAATATTTTTACTACTATAACAATAATAATTACTAATTTATAATTTACATAGTTTAAAACATTTTTTCTCAGTTTCATATTTTTCTTTTTTTTGGCTGTATCTAAATGTTTTAAAACATTATGTTTTTTAAAATGTGGAAATTAAGACTTGTTGGATTTTAAATCTTCAGTCTGCTATACAAAATATAGTGCAACAATAATTTTAAATTATATTATCAATATAATTTATACCATTTTATCTCTTTGACCTTTGCATTTAAAAGTTTTTTTTGTATAGGTACTAATATATAATATAAATATTTGTTTTAATATTATACAACCATTTTGTTTTAGTTCTAAACAAATGTTAATATATGTCTTAACTGATTAATATCATCTACTAAATTATGTTTTATATATATAATTTACTTTAAAAAAAAAAAACTAAAAACCATGTTAAAAATGTTTTAAATTAAATTTAAAAATAAAATCTAAAAATTATGTTTAGAAAATCTAATTGTACATTAACAAAACAGAAAAATTAACTTTGTATAACTAAAAAGAGACAAATGATTAGTTTGAAAGGTTATTATTATTATTATCTACTACTATAGTTTAATTATTTTGAATTTTTTAAAAAAATGATACTCAACTATTAAATATTCTGATTACATTAGGGTGATTTAGACTATTTTTAATTTATAAAATATAACAATGGGCGCTCAACTTATTGCTTAACAAATAATTTTTAAATTTTATGCCAATTTAAAAATTATTTTAATTGTAGTAGTGGTTAACCTCCTAGCGGTCGCGCTAGCGGTGTTTACACCGCACCATTGTGAAAAACCGTTTTATTTAATTATACTTATCGATAAGATTAGTATGACCCCCTGCTATTCCTACACCTTGTATTTATAAACATAATGCAATAGTCTTGCATTTTGTCTTTACACGTAAAGTCACTAGTAAATAGTCACAAAGTGTTAGTGAACGTTATTGTATGTCAATGTGGCGTAAACACCGCGGCGCGACTAAAATTGTTTTTCATCGATAATCGATAAAAAAATTTTAATATGCACAATATTATGTTAAAATAAAGTTATTTGATAAATTGAATTATTTATAAATGTCATTGTAAATTATTCCTTACGTGTATTATGCAAAATATAAGATAACAGTTCTAAAAATCTACACTAAAAATAAAGAAATAAAATAGCGGTGTTAATTCCACGGCGCGACTGCCAACGAGATTCTCATAGGCGCGACCTCTAGGAGGTTAATGACTAACATTTATAAATAATTAATGTAATTTATGTATTCATTCAAACTATCAAAGTGAATATCAGTTTTAAGTTTAAATTTAATATGAATTTAAGTTATAAATGTAAGCAACTGAACTGAAAAATACTGTTGTATCTATACATTTAAGAATTATGTATTTCATTTAATTCAGTTACACGTAAAAAAAAAAATAAAATCCAAATAAATAGATTAAGAAAATTATACAATTTATTGGTTTTAATCTTATGTACAACAAGGAATACATTTTATTTATTTGATTGCAATAAAGATTGAAAAATTTAAACAGTGTACAATAGGATAATTGTTCTAAATATGTATACACTATAGTACTATAATATAAAATTAATTTAATATATAAAAAATATAATTAAATTAAATAAGTGAAAATAAATTGCATATATTATTATGATTAAATTAGTAGATAAATATAATGCATAACATGTAAATCAATTAATAATATAAGAAGGCAGCTTGTAATTTGAGAATAAGTGATTAGACTTGTTTATAAACATATATATATATATATATATAAATACAATTAAATCTATAAATAACAACTTAATTTGCTAGTAAACCAAAAAGTTTAGTTTGAACATAAATTAAACAGATCAATTTGGTATTAATATTTTACATTTTAATGAATTCAGAAAAATAACAGATAGTTTTTAAATATGTTCAAACACTTAATAATACAATTTTGAATGTAAATTTATAAAATTAAAAATGGTGTAAAGAAAAAATGGTTTGTATTAAAAATAAAATTGATTGTGAGACATTTAACAAACATTAATTAATCTTATATTTATAAGTAATACAGCAATATTTAATTATGTGTGTAATATGTTAAACCTAAATGTAATAATTTGATTAAATTTAAGTTATAAATAATTGTACATTAACATCTAATTATAAATCATAAATATAATATTACAATAAAATTATAGGTACACATTATTGCACAGAATCAAAATTGCTTTTACAAATTAGTCATTTTTTTACTTTTTTATCAAATTTTAGTCATTGTGATTTTGCAGAAATTGATTTCCGACGTCTGGCTCTAGCTCCTGCTTCATGACGAATATTTGTATATTCAAACCATAAAACATTAGGAATTAATGTAGTGTCTCTCAATAAAAACAACTCTGAAATTTTCCTAAGAAAAAAAAAGTATATATTTTAGAATATAAACTTAAATACTTTGTACAAAATACAAACATTATAATATAAAATTAACTTAAAAACTCAATTCTGATATTTAAGCTGAAATTTTTAATTTAATAAACAAATGCATCATTATATTATAGTCAGATTAATAATGAGTACAAAACTGTTATATTTATTTTTCAAGTTTGTATAAATAAAAGAGGAAATTATTATCCAAAGGAAAATATCATGGTTATCAATCATAATAACAATCAAATAGGTATGTAATTGATTTACCCATGAACAATATTTTATTTTAAGAATATAATTTTCATATCCTTTAATAGCCAATAAAAAAAATTAGGGTTCCATAAAAGAATTTTGTCTTTTAATTTGTTGATAATTTTATCATTTTATTTAAAATATCCAAGTTAAAATAGCTTTTTTGCATAAATTTAGAGAAATGTAAAGTTATTTTAAATGCATAACCTTCATACACCATGCATAGCAGCATACAATCATTATTCATCGCATATACTTTTAGAAATCTGACTTAATTTGATACATAAATATTAGTAAAGATATTAAGTTAATAAAAAATCTATTTTTTTTTTTATATTTTAATTTATAATTGATTGAATTTTATTGACGCATCTTTTTTAGGAATATTTGTTATGGATATAAATTTTAACCACTCAATATTTCATTGAATAATTTATTCAAATTAACAGGTAATAACCTAAATGTAATTAATAAATACAGTCTACTGTACTATATGTTCCATTGTATCAATATTTATTAACATACCTACTTCATATATAACTCAATAAACTATAATATGATTATATATTATAGTTTAATATGATAAACATTTAAACATACACATTTACCATTCATTATACACTAAATATTAAACTATTTTATATATTTCATGAATTTAAATTGATTTATTTCTATTGAGTTTTTTTTCTTTTTGGTTTACATACAAAAAATTTTAACTTACTTTGCACACTAAAAATAAATTTGAATTATCCATGAGTATTGTAAACTTTTTCTATCATAATTTAATAAAATTATATATGTAACTAGTTTACTATCTGATTAGTAATTTGATGAAATTAAGTCATTACTTGAATGACAACCAACAAGGAAGTGGGATATAAAAAAAAATAAGAGTCATGGTATGTAATATTTAATTACTACCTAATCACATAATTTATATGAAATTCAAACATGATTATATGGTTTATAGGTAAGCTTGAGATGGTAAATTTATTATATTAATTGTTCACATATTATAACAAGATACATTTATAATTAAATAGGATGTTAATAATTAAACTAGTATTATAATAGTTTTTATTAACACTGATAAAAAAAATTATTCTTATTAAATAATTATGTATGATTATGATATGCATATGAGCATGTCATTTAATAATTATATATTAAAATAGTATATATATTTTTTAATTTAGTATAATATAATGTTTCTTTTTTACTATTCATATTTTAATAGTAGCATTAAATACATCAACAAAATTATAATATATGTAAAATAAACCGTTTTTTACAAAGAACATGATAATTTTAAGTAGTATACAATTTATGTAAATACCATTGCTTCCAACTTAACAAATTTCGACATCAAAATGTGTTTAGGTGAATAAAAATGATTATTTTATTATTCAATATTTCCAAGTGAAACAATTAAATATTGTCGAAGTACTTCAGTAGGCATTAAGCCAAAGCTATAATTGGACTAATTTAATTAATGTAGGGGACAGTGATAGAATCCATACTTCAGAATAGAACAAATACACCAAAGATGTCTACAATTTTTCAAAGACAATTATTTGTTATTTTTTTTTATGAAATATTTTGTAAATAAATAAAAGTAAATAATTAGTTAAATTATAAAATATGATGAAATAATAAAACATACCATGTTATAATTGTTGGGAAATGGGGAGTCAATATTACATTGATTATAGCAAACCAAATTGTTCCAATAATGATACCAAACAATGCCCCATAAATTACTTGTCTCCATGTATGGTATTGGAGAAATATTCTGAAAAATACAATATCATTAATATAGTACAATATATGCAAATAACAATAATAACAATAACACATCTACATCATGTAAAAACAATAGCCAAATGTAGGCATAAATTAGTTATGAAATGAAAAATTTTAAAATATTTCAATTATTATTCCTAATCTGGAAATGACAAATATTTTACATACAAATTAGTGCAGTTAAGAAATAATAATGTAATTGAAATAATTAAGTATAATACTAATATAATTTCTGACTGAATATGAAGAATAATTTTAACAAAATTTAATAATATATGATACAATATTCAAGTTTATGATTAAAGTAATCAAACAAAGTATTAGTGACAAAAATATAAATTTTCATCAGAAAATCATCAAGTATAAATATATATTTACAAATTTTTAATTTTCATTTATATATAATAAAATAAAATAAAATAAGTTGTTTTAATACATTTAATACAATAATGAGATAATTATTTAATATACTCTTTTGATGTCTAAGGTAGATGTCCTTTTCATAACTATATTTTTAACTACATAAAGCAGGTGAACATTCAAAATGGTATTAAACAATATAAAATAAACTAACTTAGTGTAGATTTAATATATAAGTTGCAGTTTATTAAATGTGTAACATAAAATACTTTGAGTTTAATTTATTTATATCATAGACATTTTAAAATTCTGTATTTTTTAAGCTTTTGGAATAATTATACAAATAAATTATTATATTTAATTTAATTAAATATTTAATAAATGCTTAAAACTAATAAAATCTAATTTTACAGTATGAATAAATAAATGAGAGATGATTTATTTTTTTACATTACTAATAATTGGAATAAGTTGAACTGATCTTAAAATAAATTATACAAAATAATATACCATTTAGTAAGAATGAGACTAAATATAATAGTGTTCATAATTTAATCTTCATTAAACCAGTAAGTAATGAGTTATCATTCTTATCGAATAATTATATATTGAAATAGAGATAAAGCAATTACTGATTATATATGTATAATAGTTGCTATTTTAAATCATAGAATAGTTTAAAAAAAAATAATATGTACAGAACTTAAATTTACTAAAGTGTTATAAAGTTTTGAATAAATATCTTGAATTATTATATTTCTAATACTAAAGAAAATTTAAATTTATATGAATATTTTTCTGCAATATATAATACTACCTGCTATAAGAAACTATACAAGCAATAGCAATGCATGATACGGCTCCTGAAACTTTCCAGAAGAACTCTTTAAAAGCCTTGTTATTAGCATACTGTAATCTGGAAAATAAAAGAGGTGTAGAATTCATATAATAAATCTGTTACTATATTTATACCTGATAAATGTAAAGTAAAACATATACGATGCAAAAAACCACATAAACTGTGAATGAGATGAAGGCATTCCATACTCAGAATATAATAAATTTGTATTCCTAACTAAAGGTCTTGGTTCACGCAATATATGTTTAAGAACAGTGTTACACACTTCATTTAAGAGAACACCAACAAAAAAGGTTATCTGGAAAATAGTTTTAGATATATTGTAATATTTTGGTTAATAAATTAAATAATTAAAAATGTTTACTTACTGTATGCAGATCTCGACGAAACAATATTAATGTAACAAAGCCAGATAAAATCACAAACGGTGTCAAACTAAACAGCGCCAATAATTTTCCAAATACATTTCCTATAAAATAAGTTAATAGACATTAACATTTTATTTAAATGGAAAAGTCAAAAATAGTTATATGTAATCAATACATAATCAAACAAGGAAGAATGTCATTAAAATAATTACTATTTTCTATGCAGGTTTTACACATTTCAGAGAATAGAAAAAATATAAATTTTTTAAATACTGTATAATGAATGAATTATGAACACAATAACTTATGATCGTTAGTGGACCGAGGAATTATTAAATAATTTAAGATAATATACCTAATATAAATGTATGTTATTGGAATCAAGCAAAAGCAAAGTGTTAATAAACAAGAAGATAGAATTCATGATGTTATTTGTTTTATTTAACAAAGGTTTATTAATAAATCAAATATTTATCTTTATATATATATATATATATATTAAAAGTTAAAAGTGCATTAATATTATTTGTCACTAAGTAGTTATTTTTGTCGGTAAAGATTTTTATTTTTCCTCAAATAGTTACCCTTAGGATATTCAACAAATGTTAAAGATAATGGCACCCAATCGATGGATTGATCGTATACGCTCTTATTCACCGAGTCCATGATTGGATACTAGAAATAAAACGGAAGCAAACGGCGAGTGGCGTCACCTACATGACACTTGGAAATCGATTTATGATACTCGGATAAAAAACGTTCACTAACATCAGCAATGGATAGCAACTCAAACGGTCGATCGGCGACGAGTATAATATTATGCAGGCAAACGTTGTTGGAACTGAACAAAATTGATTTGCGAATAAAAACGGAAAAACGGATATCACGGCGAACACACGCACAAATCACGGTGTGTAGCGGTCCCTTATTACGGACACAGTATTTGACGTCGCGTCGGTCAACTAACACCAAACTAATAAGATATTATAATTAATGTTGTCGTCGCCGTCGCCGTATTTGAACACAGGGAAAGTGATACGAAAACACGATTCGTAAGGATGATAACACCGTCGTTGTGTATGTTGATAGCGCGTAAATGTCCAGTGATAAGAGTTTTGAATAAATACAATAATTTGAATTACACGATCTCGATTTTATGCGCGAATTTGTGATGTCTGAATATATATATATATATATATATATTAAAACGAATAATTGTTTTACTTGAATGAAAAAAAAATGAATGCCTACCTTCAGTACCTACAAACTTGATTTTAGTAAGATTATTTAATTAAATTCCGACTTATATATGTACTTAAAATAATAGCAGAAAAATAGCAGATTCCCTAGGCATTTTCTTTTTTTAATTTGATAAAATAGTGTTCTTTGAATGAGAACATAAAAAATGTAAATATAAATGTCTATGTTTTTTGTAAATTATTACAATGCATAGGAACATTTTTATCGCTGCTAAAGAAGTAATTAATGCATTTATTAAAAAAGAAAATTTAATTAAACATTACAATTTTTTGTACCATTTTGAATAAAATATATTTAATATATATGTTTTATTATTTTAATGTGTAGGTACCTATAGATTTAGAAATTATTCTTCCATAATAATTTGTATGCAGCTAATCTATTTCCATATAAAAGTTATGTATTCACCACTGTGATATAAAATTGTTTAATTAATAACTTAATAATAATTTATCCAATATAATAGTTCGAAAATATTTTCAAAATTATCTAAATGGGGCTAAAAGTAAAAACATTTGCAACTGAATATAAATAAAACATACTATATGCTTGTAAGTAATGTAAACTTGATCTATTATTACAGTGGTTTCCAACCTTTTTCATAATATGTATCTAATTTTAAAAAATCTAATCCCCCCTTAAATTAGAGTTTAGGTGATTTTTAGTCATAAGAATCAATCCTTGTACCTATCAATATTAGGTTAGATGTGAAAAGGTCAATCCGCTATTATTATAAAATATAATTGTTATTGATGCGGAATAATCTGAAAATATATAGTGATTTCAATTTTACATATTGTAAATGTTAAATAACATAATTATTTTCATAATTTTATCATTATTATATTCCCCCTCCCCCGGTTGGGAACCACTGTATTATTATGTTTACTATTTGCAGTGGTCATAACTCGGAAGGCTGCAACAAATCTGTTTTTACGGAGTCTCGTTTCAAAATCACAAACGGTTATAATAATTTTCTGTCAATTTATACTAAACAATACACATACACTAGCACAAGTTATTTAAAATGTAATTTCATTTATAAAATGTATTAAGTATTACCTTTACAAACTATACACAAACACACATGACAATATGATCTATAGGTTATATTTGGACATTTCTGTTGGATAGTTATATTATATTATTATAGTATTTACACTTTTGTTCAAAAAATTAGTATATAGTATGTTAATTAATTGAAAAGTCAATAGTTATTACTCCTAATATAATGCAGATATTGAAGTTCCGTTTTTTTTAATATAATATGTAATTTATAGCCCATCTTTTACCATGGTTAAAAAAAATTCAAAATTCAAAACCACTAAAAATTTTTTTTGATTTTCAAAAAAATTGTTTGAAAAATTTCGAAAATAACCTATTTGTAGAATTACTAATAAGTTACACAGAGAATAAAAAAAATTGAAATCGGTTGAATTTTGAATGAATGAGAGCTCAAAAACAATCAGCAAAAAACAAAAATATTACAAAAAATATTAATGAGTTATGTGTACTTAATTACCTAATATCATATTATTAGTTATCTATTTAAAAGTTTAAAAACCATACAATTTTATAATTTGCTGTGTTTTTTTAAATCATAAAATGCTCTCATTCATTCAAAATTTAACAGATTTCAAATTTTTTTTTCTTCGAGTAACTTATAAGTAGGGGAGAGTGGGGTAGGTTGGCTATGTTAAGGCTCAAATATTTAATTTTCTGTAACTGTTTAATTTGGAGGTCTGAAATTTTGTATAGACGTTGTTTAATGTCTTTAGAATAATATTCAAAAATATTATGACTTACTATTCAATGGTTAAGAATTTAATTGAGTTCTATTCTATTCTTTAAATTTTGTCATCTTTCCCCGTGGCTAGGGTAAGTTGACTTTGTATTGGGGCAACTTGACTATATCGGTTTAAATGAAGTTTCGTTACTTAAAAAATGGTTTAATCTTCAACAGGCAACATATTATAACACATCAAATTAGTAGATGTATTATTCAACTAGTTTTTAATAATTTTAGAACTTTCAATAAAAAAAAACTTCTTTGTGTTAAACAAATAACATCTAATTTGTAAGTAGATAGGTATGTTGGTAAAATGTGTCTTTAATAAAATCAAAATCACTTTTATACTTTCAAAATACTTTTATTAATCAATTAAATAAAAATCAACTTGTACCTAACCATCAAATGAGTAATAATTACTTATTATATATCGATATTAAATTACATTTAATACGAAAATATTAACAGCTTACAGTATAAAGGTTAGAAGCAAGTGAACGAACACGTCAACTTACCCCAAATAAAAATTATACAAAACAGATATTATTTTTGTATTAAAAATTCAACAGATTTTAATCGTACAGCAACTAATTGAAAGGTTAAAATGTGCACTAAATTTATGTATTGAATGAACTTAAAAATAAACTTAGTTTTTTTTCATTAAACCTTATTTTCGAACACCCGTTAATGATAACATTACCTCCAAAAACAGTGAAATTATAACAAACCACGGACATCTTATCAGATAAATTTGTTAATCAAAATATTAAATAATCACTTCTACACACATGTTATTTCTGTGATAATACATTCTCAGATTTAATTTTATCATTTTAAATTCGAATTCGTCATCTTACCCGGTGCGTCAACTTACTCTCCCCTAATTCTACAAAGTGGCTATTTTCAAAATTTTTCAAAACATTTTTTCTAACCGAGGTAAAAGATGGGCTATAAGTCGCAAATTATGTTAAAAAAACGGAACTTCAATATCTGCATTATATTGGAGTAGTAATTACTGACTTTCCAATTAATTTACATACTGTATAATTTATTTGACTGAAAATAAAAGCTACCTATTTTATTTTTATATTATGTACCAATTTCCCTCTTATTATTCCATAAGATAACAGATAGGTAATATGTTGATTCAATAGCCGTTAAAAAATTTAAGTTATTAAGTAGATAGGTAAATGTTGTTTTGGTTGATGTGGTTTTATTTTTGAATACGAAGGAAAATAAAAGTTGTTAAACGGTGCGTAATGTATTTGATTAGTTTAAACTATACAAAACTTTTTCAATGTTTTTTATTTGTACGATGAAATTAAAATTTTTAAATGGTTTGTTTAAGCATTAAAGTTAGAATTTGCAAAAAGTACTTATTAAATAGGTATTTATAATGTCTTAGTAATTCTTTAACATTTTTTAATTAAATCCATATTTAAATTTTTAATAGCATTTTTTTTTTTATAGAAGTTTTTAAGTTTTTAGTTATATATTTGGGTTTTCTTTTTAATTTACTCATTCATAATATCTACACTATACTTTAATACTGGTTATACTATTTAGCACTGCAAATAAGAAAAAAGGTATTATTGATATGATTTTAAGTAATTTATATAGCTCTGGTATTCAAGGCAATATACAATTTGTTTCAATACGTAAATATATAAATTATATGAAATTCAAAATTTTTCTACGTATATATAAATAAATAAAATACTTATATAATTATATTAATAACTAGAATGATAAATAGTTAATTTAATGCTTACTTTTTGGACGACTAAGTCTTTTTTTGTTTGATAATAAAGAAGTAACCATCATATACAACGTCGTATATTACATAAAACGCAGTTACCTTGATTAATTATAAATGTATATTAACTTGACCATCCACTTGTTATAGTACTATAATAACAAAAACGAATTCATTTATTTATAATTTGTTTAAATAAACAATGATTTAATTATAAAAAATAAAGCCAACAGTAAAGTATAAAATATGATCTTTACAGATTAAATATATAACTAAGATTTTGATCAATAAATAAAAAAAAACATTATTTTACAATAAACTATCATTAAAGCTTGACCGAGAAATCGGAAATTTGATTAAATATTATGTACAGCTTTTGTATTAAAATTAAAGTCATTATAATTACAACAAAACTACATCGTAGGGAAATCACCAACCGTCCACTTAAATTAATAATTAAATTAATTAATTAATATATAAATTACTATTTATTTATTATTGTTACATAGGTATATATTTTGTTATTATAATGTCGTAATTATTAATTATTATTAAAATTTTTACATTTGAATATATGATTTAATATAATTTTTTTTTTGTATTAAAAAAAAAAAAAAATTAAAACAAATAGTATCAGTAAATTAAATGTTTTTTGTTTATCGGATATTTATAATATGTACGAATAAAAATCATTATTCATCATTCTAACAATAGTATTAGCTATTATTAAAATAATTATATTTACCAGTGTATATTTGAATTCGTTGTAATTATTCTAAATTATTTTATGTATAAAATCTACTAGTCTGCTGTCTGTAATCTTAAGCCTGTAAGCAAATGATCTAACGAATGCTTTTTACAATTATTTCTACATTTCATAGTTCATGTCAAATTCAAAACTAACACTTGTATATAAACATGTTCATTGATGTTAAATAATTTCCTTACTACACGACGGTAATTTGTTTCAAGCTGTTTGTTCTATTACGTACAGATTTATTTCACACAATCGAAGCTATGAGAAATAGAAACGTATAGAATGTTATTAGTAGTATGTTAATTGCATAATTTTGTACTTGGTTGAGTGTTATAAATAAATACAATTATAATAAAAGACCTATCGATTGATTTCTTTATACGTATAGGTAATGAATATTAGTTGTATTGCTTTCTACATATTTTATGTTATATATTCATTAAACAACGCGAGAACCACATTTAACACGTACCTATAACATGGTGATATTTTTTGATTTTATGAAAAATTATTAGTTAAGCTATTTATATACTATCATGATAGCTCTAAGTAATTCTAATTACATTTTTGCTTCCTCCAAATATATTAATTGTTTTAATAATAATGTGTCTCAATTACTCAGTTCCCCCAAAATAGCAATCAAATATGTGTGATTGAAAATATTAACTGGTACTTATTTAAGTATAAAATATTTAAAATTTAGTACTTATATATTGTATATTGAAAATTAAGCGTGTAATTACGTACAAGTTATTGATGGTGTATTATTATTTCATAATAATACGAGTAAAAACTAGATATTCAACTATATCATTGAAATTAATTGAACGCTTATTTTTATTATTTTTTATTAAATCAAGGATATTGTTTTGATTTTGACAACAATAATATTGTTCAGTTAAATAGTGGGCATTTCCATTGGTAATGAGTATAACGAATTATTGTAAAGGAAGGAACTACACACAATATTACATATATATATATATATGTAAATTTATTCTACATTTATATAATATATATGGTAGCCCTTGAACTATATTTCTATACGAACTTATTTAGTAAAATAGGATATTCATTTTTAGCCCAGTAGTTGTTTAATATTTGCATTGGACACATTTATTAGACACGTGTTCCCTACAGTTGTAGATAATGTCAATAATATGTTATAATTTGTATATTTATAGTGTAGTGTTTATCTGACATATGCAGTATAGTAAATAGGATTTAATTTATAAATATTATTGTTTCAATACAATTCAATTTTTCAAAATTGTGTTCAATATTTTTACAATACCAAAACAATTTTTTCAGTAAGTATAATTAATACATAAGTATTAAAACACAATTATATTGTTTTATGTCATCTTATATTACAATTGGAAATTACTAGGTGAATTTAGGTAGAATAAAAAATATCAATTACATATAATATCGATATATGATACCTAGTTTTATGATACCTTGTTTTATTTTACCTAGTTCACATTGATTGTACTCATGGGTACAGTATATATGTAATAATGATTATTAATACAATTATAAGAATTAATTAAATAAAAAATAAATAACTAACGTAATACTTAAAACGGATCCAATACAGAGAACAAAATATTCATAAGAATTATAATTTATTGGAAATATAATACGTTTATGTACTTACTACTAATTTCAATTCTGGCTCAGGTATAGGGTTATATATTCAATAAGATAACCTGTATTATATTTCAATGACGTTCTGCAAGACTACATTGATTTTACAATGAAAATATACAATAAAGCGTAACACCTACCAAATTTTTAAGATATAAATATGCACTAACTTGTTCATTCGATTATTGTACCCAAACTTTCTGTACATTTTTTTCTGTTTTGTAAATTTTTCCTGTCTTAGTTAAACATTTGAACTTGTAATTAAATTATTCAATAAATGATGTTATTATTTTATTAAAGATAAGTTTTATTTCTGTACTAGAAAATACAGGCGAGTGGCACTTTTAGAAAACTATGTATAATACAAGCAATATATAATATATACAAGTAATTCTTATAAATAAAACAATTATTGTATTATATATTATACTATACATTATATTGAAAAATATACAAATAATAAGTAAAAAAAATACATAGTATAAGTATATAAGTTATATACTTTGTAGTTGATTTATAAGTATAAACTTTATCTAAGACGAAAAATGTGCAGGAATATCGGAATAAGGGAGCCGATGGATGCATGGTACCATAGCAAAATGTATAGGCTAAAAAAAAAAAAATTTGATTTGATTTTACAAACTATTAAAAAACAAATAGTTTTCGTATTTAAAATATCTTTGTCTTAAATTCATCCATCACTGATGATATTTCTATATAATTTCCATTGCAGCTCATATAAAACATATTTTTTTTATATGCTGCAAATTAATAACACAACAATTATAAATAATGGTATTCACTCTACATAATGATGATCGATGACCATTTATTGTTTTATATGAAAATTTGATATTTAAGTATAAATATTTGATTTTGATTCCAAATATGAACCACATATCGTAAAAAATAATAATATTTAAAAAATATGAAGTATGATAACATACGAAGTCAAAATATGAATTACATTTGTTTTTGTATCATGTATGTTTTATTCCCTCGTTAAATAAATAATTACATTTTTCATGACGAAATAATATAACCCTTTCACTACCGAATTAATTTATTTTCTTCAAAAAAATTTTTTTTTAATTTTTTATTTTCTTTACCACTAAAATAAGATATTTACCAAATTTCAACCTTCTAATATGATCTGGTCCAGAAATATTGAAATACGCATTATAATGTGCACTGGGATAAGGTAACATATTTATTTTGCACATTATAATGTGCCATGGGTTCATAGTAAATAAATAATAGTACATTGTAATAAGCATTGGGAATTTGAAATATTTTAATACAAAAAACAACTTAATATAAATAAATGACTTATGAAAATTTTAAAAACATTATATTATAATCTTAAAATAAATAAACAATTTAAAACTTTAACAAAAAAAAAAAAAAAGAAATTAACTGTTTAAAAAACAAAATATTATACTTCATTAATAATAACAAAAAAAAAAAAAAAAAAAATTCCCAAACTAGAAAAACTAAGAACTATTTAAAAACTAATTTATTGATGATAGTCAAAAAAGCAATTGGTTTTTTTCGTAAAACAAAGATGCACGTGGCATTTTGAACACTGCACATGGTTCTTTCTTTGCTTCCTTTTTTTGCCATTTTAATAGTGAGTACGATCATATAAAGAAATGTAAATATTTAATAATAATTATTCATTTTTATATAATCTTAGATATTGTGATATTGTGATAGTGGTTTTTGTTTATATTAAATATCTGTTGTTACCCAACGCACATTATGATGTGCGTACGTTTACCACGATTTTAACGGTTCTTGATTAGTGATAATGGTTATATATTTACACCAAATGATTCGTTATCAATTATTTAATATGAATTATGGTTGTTATAATTTTAGTGGATAGTCAAAGAGATCAAATAAACTAAAAGCTAATAAAGAGTTATAAAATTTTATCAAAAGAAAATTTTCGTTAAAACAAGTAACAAAAAAATGGTATTATCACATTTTAACAGTTTAAAATGTTTAGTATTATATTAATCACATGTTTTACTATCAAAGTATACTAAAATCATAAATATTGAACATACCTAGAACAAATAAACCACATTAATATTCAATGCACATTGCAATGTACATGGGTAGTGAAAGGGATAAAATAATTATTATGTCATAATAATATGATTTGCCTCGCATTATATAAATTGTTCTGGCGTCCCTGAAGATATGTATCTTGTTTCACGCTCTTATGTTCGTATATAATTAATAATTAATATTTATATTATGTAAAAAATTCTAAACGTTTAAATGTTATTTTTTATAGTATTTAGATGAATTTGCATATTGCATTGTATAATAAAAAATATTTTATCTATATTTTGTATTAATTATGTGATTCTAGATTTACATAGACTCGTGTTTTCATTAAATAATTGGTAATAATTATAAAATTATTTAGCAAATATCAAATTCATAAATATCATTAAATTGAACATCAAACTTGGACTATGACAGTGGAAATAATTGGTTACGTTTAAGGTACAATATATTTAATGTCATTATTTTCTATATAATTACAACTTATCACAAAATTCATGTTTTCTATTGCAATTTATTTTTCACATAGTTTTCTAGTACAATTTTATAAATTGAGACGTAAAAATAATTATAATCTAAATATGAGGTATGATTTTTATGAAAAATAAAAAAATAACCGTATGAACATTAAAAAATCATCGAATATGTGGTATGTATTATGTATTGGGTATTTAAAAAAATTAGAATTAAGACATTTACACAGCATGCGACTAAAATACAATTCTATAAACGTATTACTACCATTGAATACTATTGGTTGTCACGCTTGTACGGGTTTTCTCATTACGACGGTCGATAGTTGATTTTTTTTTCAATTCTCACTCGAAAAGTTCTAACCGTTATATAAAAATACATTGTATTATGAGCGTGGTTATTTGTCCGTACACTTATTATGGTAATTCGCACATTGTATGTTAAGCGCGGTGGACAATATGCATTGCGATTGTTCTTGTTAAAATTAGACATGTAAGTGAAAAAAAATCAAACAAAAATTTGAATAATTCGCAAAAGTGTAAAAACTTGCCGGCCGTTCACGGTTAGATTACCTCTTATTGACTGTAATATAATCAGTGTCGGTCGCATGTCTGAATGCCGCGTACTTCGGTTATCTCTCTGTAAATACGTAATTTCGTCTTATTGTTTTCCGTCGTTTTATAGTTGATGTTTGTCAGCGAATATTACCACTTCATACTATATCAGATATATATGTCCTATGGCTGGAATGTATATGAAAAGAGACAGTAGTATCGATTTGCCTCATCCGATACAAGCTCAAACATCGATGACATTATGTTGGCAATCGGAATCCTACCAGGTAAACGGCGCAAAGATCAATCATTCCAATTGTACTCCGGCTATACTCGGAGTGGTCGATTTGACCAAGTTGAGGGTACATCAAGATGATAATGCTTCCTCACGAAATGTTCCAGGTAAGTAGGTACAATTAATATTATTGAAATGCATATAAGGCCGTATAAATGGTTCCAGATTCACGTGGAAAAACATTTTTTTTTTGGTTATTTTGAATATATTTAGATTTATTTGAATAGTAATGTAAAATATGGTCGTTCAATTTGTTCGAATTAAAAATAAGTATACCATAGTATAATTATGTATAGACTTTAACCACTAAATTTGGAATAATGTATTCAAATAACCACACAAAAGTTTATTCTACGTGTAAAACATAAAAATAGCGTGAAATAATTAAACAAGTTCTAAAGAGACACGTATTTCGTTTCAACATTTAAAAAACTTTAAATACTGAAATATTTTAGAGTTTTATTAAAATTTAATATATTTCATCTTATAATAATACTCCATTTTCATACAAAGAAACACATTTTATTATATATCGACATTTGACTGGATATCATTATATATTTTTAAAAAACTCATTTGTTGAACGATGTACGCTCATATTAAACTCATTTTACCTCTATGGAATACAAAGTACCATTTTATAATTTTAGTCCCATTTTAAAAATATTCTTGTATAGTAGCCTATATGGAATGAATCTCGTTTACTAATTACCTGTATGATGATATGGCTGCTAATACACTTAAAGGACTTAATCTTAATTTTTTTAATAATACAAACAACTTTGAAGTACAGACATTAAATAAATTAATTTCTTTAATTTCTTTTTTATACAAAAATTAAATTGAAAATTTCTTACTAGATTATTGATCAATAATCATTTGTTATGTACGAATTTTATATATTTAGGTATTTTTAACTATAAGATAAGTCACCTTTTTAACTTTATTTTCCTGAAAAGATAACATTATAGTTTCGCATTATAAAATAGTTTTATATGTTAACATCGACAATTAATATTTTTGCTTATGATTATAAAACTGATCGGTAGTTTAGAAACGCTAAAAAACATGGCTAATCGCAACAATTTTTACTATTATTTTTCATATTTATTTTACTTGTATATTTTACATAAACTATCTGAATAGGTCTTAGAGACAAATACTTATTTTCATAAATATTCTTTTGTTGATAATAAAAAACAACAAGTTAGGCTGATGTTTTAAAAATAAAGTAGATGTAAAAGTGGTATTTAATGTCATTGTCTAGTTCTACGTCTTATTCAGTTGAATCAATTCTTAACAGTGTACCTTGGACTATAACCCCTATTTACAATAATTTTACTAAGGGGTTATAGTTACAATACAAATATTGGTCTACAATTATTGTAGAAAGTAAGATGGATAGATTAGTTGTTATCTTGGTATAAGCTGAACATTTAAAATGGGATCTCTTCTCCCTACCTTATCCAAACAATTAAAAAAAAAAACAAAGTCAAGAACTATCGAAAATAATAGGACAGGGTATTTGGTAAAATTCTATGAAAATAAATTGAAAAAATGTTCAATAACAGTGATTCATCATTATCTTTTTTTTCTCCGGCAACTACATAATCTATAGTATCTAAGAATCATAATAAATCTATTGATGATAGTCATATTAAAATCAATCAATAGATGGTGAGTTGAATCTAAATAAGATAAATCAAATTTCAGTATAAATATATATAATATAATTTACAATATTATAATATGTATTATAAATAATAATTTTCAAACAGTTTAAATTAAGCATGTATGTTTCTTATAGTTAAGTTATAATAATGTACTGCAATAGATTTTTATATTTTTTTTTTAAAAATTGGTTTGTTGGGACAGTCGGATAAAACCACCGCCTTGTGTATCCTTATTAAGCGGATTCGACTGTATATATATATATATATATATATATATATATATATATAGACATAATACCTTATTTTATATTTCATGTTTCACTATGAAAATGAAATATGTAATAGCTTTAATAAACAATATTATTTCAATATATATTTTTATATTACAGGACTTAATTCTACGGTTACTGAAAGTAAAAAAGCTGTTACGTATCAAAATAATAACGAATTACCTAATATAGAATTGTAAGTAATATTTTATTATAATTTTTAATTTTTTAAAAGATGCATCTATTTTAAATTTTAGTTTAAATATTACACATTCATTACAATTCTAATAAGTTCAGTTTATTAGTTAAAAATAGATGGTATAAACTTAAAAAGAACATTGATATTTAGATAATATAATGGATTCCAAAACTAGGTTAATTATTTAAAATGAAAACTAAATAGAACTAAATACAACTATGAAAGAAAATATTACCTAATAAACGTATGAAATTATATTATCACAAAATATTTCATCGTACTAATATTATATTTTTATTTTCCTTTTTAAATTGTTGGTTTTTTTATATTTATTTAAATTTAATTTTTATTTTATTAATAATAATTATTATTATAATAATATATATATATTCTTTTTTGTTTAAGTTTCTTGGTTATTTATTATTAGGTACAAATTACGAATATTTTAAAACTATATAATGTATCAAATATTATATTATATACTTATGATATTTGATTGAGATTTAATTTCTGAAAAATATAATGATATGTGTAATCATGTTGATTTGAAGTCTATGTTAATATATAGCTGTATATAAATGAGTATTTAAAATATATTTTATGGTACGTAATCCTTGAACAGTGTTTAGAAGTAAAGGTATCATTAAAATATACAAATATTTAGTAATTATTCAAATTTCAAACTAACATGAACGACTGGTAAAGTCATAATTGATTTTGAAAAATCTATTTTAAACTTATTATAATAGTTATTGCCTATAACCTTGTATATTTTATCAGTATGACATAATAAGTATTTTTTGAATATTATTTTTATTTTTTGAATACAATTCACGCAAAATCCTGTGTGCTGTTAGTAAATTATGATATACTTTGATGTATAATAATTGTTCTACAAATATTACAATTATTAATCTCTTCATTATACAAGAACTTAAATATTTCAAATAACCGACTTTTAACATAATTTTATAGATTTTTATAAAATATTTTACCTAAAAGAATTTAAAAATGTATATACATATAATTTTGCTTATACGTTGCATTAAAAACTACGTTATTGGAAATATTGTCTAATGTCAATATAATAAATTTAAGCTTGACTAGATTTTTTTTTTAATTAAATTAAATTTTGTTTAGGTTCAATAATTGTTCAAATTTCGATCACAAGTATTTATTTAATTTATAACTCCGTGACGTAAATTCGTAATTATTTAACAACCAAATCATGGAAAATAATTCAATTTGTTTCTAGTGTAAAATAGTAACTAAAATATGTAAAAATATCCTAGTAAGTGTTGTGAACTAAGTGACAATTTATTATCGTATCATCAATGAAATGTTTAATTTGTTCCGAGGATCGAAAATAACTACTACTGAATCAGAGTGAGAACATAAGTTTTACAATTTCTAGATTTTTTTTAATATTAACTGGCGATTATACCTACAATACCAATTAAATTAATACATATAATTATATATTATATAATTAATATAATTTAAAATATTTAGATAATGTACCATGATAAATTATTATAATGTGACAAGGTTAAAAAGTGAAAAATACTTTTTCTATATAGTATTTTGTATACTTAAAATGGACCATCGTTTTAAATTAACATACATAAGTAATAAATATTATAGTTGTTATGAATTTAGATCTAAGAATTAAGTACAATATAATAAATTTATTTGTTCTGTTTATAACAAGAAGTCATGAAATTTGAAGTGCATAAAACATAAAAACTTTTGAATTTTTTGCGAAAAAGTGTAAAGTAATATTAGATTCCATTAGAACTATTCTAATAAAAATTGATCAATACTAATTGATATTAAAATTATTTTTAATTTTCAATAAAAATTTTTCTGCATTTTCAATTCCTTAATTTAAAACGACCTCTTATAATATTTTCTGGGATTATAAATTACATAAGAATTATTTTTAACAAGTACTTTTTTTTATATTCTCAGTAGTTTTCAAATGTAAACTTGAAAAATAAACATATAGCAAAAAATGGCCAAGAAAGTAAAGTTATATGTTTAAAAAAGTTGAATTAGATTCTGAGTGTAATGAGGAGTTATGAAAAACGGCAGATCGGTTTTATACAAAATAAAATATTTGTTTTTATTGTAACTTAAAAAATAACTATTGAAAAGACTTTTAATGTTTATTGAATGCTTATATAATCATTTGATATAGATGATAAAATGTTCAAAAGATTATTTTGGGCTATTTATGGATTATTGTTACTTACGTTTTTTTAAAAATGTCAATAAAACAATTTTGGCTTTATATTTTACTAAATAATAAAAAAAATATCGAACATAATTATAATTATAAAGAAAAAAATATACTTGCGTTTGAGTACAACATTTTGATATAGTGATAAAAATCAGGAAAATTCACTGCATTTTCATATCTTTGAAATTGAAAGTTTATAACTTTCAATTTTTATACATTAAAAGACAAAGACTTGAAAGTTGGATAAAGATTTTTTTATAATATTTTCTATGTAATAAAAAAAAAAAAATTAATAATAATAATAATACTATTTGAAAGTCATAAATATGTTTTATAAGAATTGTAAAATAAAATTTTAACAAAATCTGATACTTCAACGAATTTCCATTAAACAGTTATTTAGTTTTTATCCTAAAAATATTAATCGTTGTGACTTCAAACATTTATTAAGTTTTTATATTAACATTTTAAACACATTTCATAGTTTCGAAATATTTTTGTAAAATGTATGCAGTTTATGCATTAGAAATTGTTGATTTTTTCTAATTCTAATGATTTTTTTTGTTGCGAAAGTTTGAACATTAAAATTTCAATTAATTCACTAAGAAATTTGGTTGTTTTATTATATCAATTATCTTTAAAAATGTTAACTGAACCATACAGTCTTTTTTACTCAAAATTGTTTTTTTGATAGCACTGGTATATTGGTTTTAAATATAAAGACTTTTACAGTAATCTCATTCACTCATCTCTGTATCTCATCGGACCATAGTATCTCACACGACTTTTTTTGAGAGGTTTGGCCTTTTTTATTTTATGGTTAGAAAATACAACCTATACACCTAAATGAAACTTTCGGTTACCTAATTATCTTAAAATAAATACATTTTTATAATATATAACTCAAATTGAAAAAGATTATAAAACTTGCTTTTTTCAGAATTTAATACTACATTAAAAATATTTTAGAAACAAGATTATTATAACAAGATATTAACAAAATTATTTTTAGAATTTATGTTTCGTTATCATGTTATTTATTTCAATTTTTAATTTTGTTGTTTGTATCAGCATATCGTTTTAAGTAGTTAATATTTTTCTCAATTTAAACAACTAATAACAGAACACAAATAAAGAAAATGTTTCTCAACTCGGCCATAAAAAATCAACTAAACGAATGTCGAAAATGTGTTGGTTGGTATCGGCTATGACAAAAAATAGGTAATATTTTATGATAATTGCAAACACCCATTTGTTAATTTTTCAACGTGCACAAGGTAATTTCAAAACAAACAGGTGTTTTGTCAGATAATTTATTTAAAAAAAAAAAAAAAAACATTACAAAAATATAGTCGGTTTACTGGAATAAAAAAATATGTGAAATTATTGGTTTATTATACCTACACACGGGATGTGTACGTTAAATGTAACACAGTTTAGTGTTGATAGTCGTTGTTTTGTAGTTCACATTAGTATATAACTTTGAAGTTAAATGTATGATTGGGCGTACATTATTATAGCTACGATAATTTTATTAATTCTATTTCTTACATTTACTTAATAAAATAATATTATTTTTAAATGACTTCCCCTAAAAATAGTACAGAATATATATCTGCCATAAATGTGAAGCAAACCGGTGGAGAAGTGTACGAGTTTAATTTCAGTCCTAATATCGAGAAAAAAAAGTAATTTTTTGTATTTTATTAACATTTTTTTGTTTTTTTATTTTTTTTTTTATACATTTTTCTGTGAATACATTTTAAGTTATAACAAAATATATTTTAAACGCGAGTAACTCAAATTCAAAGCTATTACTGTTATTTAATTTTTTTTTTTATTAATTAATTTAAATAGAAATATATTTATGTACGTAGATTTTTCGTTTCAAAATGAGCTCAAGTTATTTCTATTATTATTATAACATAAACTTTAATTTTTTTCATAAAATTGAAATAAAATATAAAATTATTCCTATTTATAAATAATTAGTTTAACACTGTAGTGAAATGTAGATTTATGTGATTATTATAATACATTTTAATAACAACCAGTATTGAGTCTATACATACTGTAGGTATTATAATGGTATTATTTATTTTTAAAGTGAATTGTTTTTGGAGATTCAGTCAATAAATTTATATTCGGAAACCAAACATTTATTTTCAATCAATAATGTTTAGCTCAACTGAATTAAACTATTATCAACAATTCTTTTAATTAATTAAGTATCCGTTGTATCAATATATTTGAATTTTTTACTTATTTGAACCTAGTTAGGTATTGACAAGTATTAAGTTATTAAATACGTTTTTAATATTTAAACATAATATGACTGTAAATGAACATGATATTGTAATACTAATAATGTGTTAAAATACCAATTATTTAATTACATGATATTCCATCACAGTGTAGGTATAGTAGGTTCATTCTGTATTAATTATCTAATTGATAAACATATATTTATTTACGAAAATTAAAATTTACGTCCTCGTTATTCGTTCGAAATTAATGAATATTAATGAATAGTAAGCACAATGATATATAGAGTAATGACTACTGTATGGTAAATAAAACATTTTTTTTTTTTAATTTCCAGTAAATGCATTTAATTTTTAAGTATTAAATTTTTTATTATCTATTAATAACGCCCACGTTTTTTTGTTACATATTAATTTATGTACCTATTTGTATTTTAATTTATAAAGCATTAATATTCCTGTGTCATTAGCATTGAGTGGAATGAAAAGCCAGGGACAAGATAATCTAATGTATGTGAAACTTCTAAATGCATCCTAAAATGTATTTATAAATATTTTTAGTGTCTTTTTCAAAAATATAACCATTCTATATGATAAAAATATTTTCAAGTAAACTATACACACAATTAATATTAAATGTATTTTTTAGTATAAAGAATTGGTATAATCTCGTTATTGATGTGACCGAATATCATGGGTTAACAACAGTGTTCCGTAAAAATCATTGTTAAAAGGATGTGATGCAATTTCCGTATATGAGCAGGCATTATTCCATAAGCTAAATTAAAATTGTTAATTTTTTTGATTTTTTAAAATTGTATTAACTGATAAATAAGTTACAATAGTATAAGACGTGTAAAATGCTAAAAATTCTTTGATAATCAATGTTTTTTATTTTTATAAATTTAAATACCACCATTTTGAATTTTCTTTTGGAGCCTTCTTATGTTGCCCGCAACGAAATTATTTTGTAGACAATTAATAAATATTATCATTTTCATAATCAGACTACCTCACATAGAATAGATTAACTTTTCCATTATATTTATCTTTTACACGAGAAATTTAATATCTTCTTTATTCAATATAATTTTAGTTATTATTTATCAATTTCTGAATTTTATATTTTCAACAAAGTGCAGGATTACAATAGAGTTTTTTTTGTTATAAATATTATTTTGATATTAATATTATATTAAATCGTAACTAAAAGTTCTATGTAACAAAATTTTAGAACAAAAATTTGATATAATGGCACATCGAATATATTATTCGATTATTCGTTTTCCTCTAGATTTTTCTGAAATAAATCGCTTATGAGTTTGATTTAAAAACATTAAAAGCATTAAATTATTATTTTGTGGTAGCTTAAAATACTAAAACAGCTTGGCTTGTAGTTTTAAATCGGCAAAGCAGGGCTGTCACTTGGGTGAGAGGCAACGGGACCATTTAGTCCCAGGTTCTAATCTAGGAAAATTTAAAGTTGGTTCACATTAATTAGAAATACTCGATGTTATCCATTAGAGATTATTGATATTAACATATTATTTCTAAACTGTTTTAATTTATTAAATGTTAATAAATTTAACAAAATAAAGTAAGCTTAAATTTATATTTAAGCGCTATTATACAAACTATATTTTAAGTTATTCTAATTTCTAAATAGGTATAATTGTAATTTATTATGGATATTGCTGGAGTCTGAAGAATGACATAATTTCAAGCCTGGGTAATTTAATGATAATTTTTAACTGAGTTAAGTTAAGTTGATGGAAAACATTTTAAAAAGTTTAAAGTTAACAGCTAACCTATTTATTTTTTTAACTCAGGTTAAAATTTGTATGAACATTTTCAATTAACTTATTAACTTAAGTTATTATAATTATTTTTTAAATATATTTAAAATAATAAAAATATTAAATATTATTGAACATAGGAAAAAAATAATCGCACTTTACTGAATACTGATAATCACATCATAGTTATACAAAAACTGAAACACAACATTGAATATTTTATATTATATAGTCAATATTGTAAATCTTTTGTGCTGAGAGAGCCGAGAACGAAAAGTGAACCCATGTGGGCTATGACTATTTTGTCTATTAACAGTATTGGCTGTTTATAAATATAAATTTTGAAATATGATTGAGGTGTTATCGGAATAATTTGCTAAAAATACTAAAAATCCTTAGGACGGCTCTGCGGTAAAGTGTTTATTTTTTTTTTTTATTCCTTGGGTCTTCAACACCTTAGATTCGCTATCAGCTGCAGAGTGAAACTACTTGTAGACAATACGATTTCATGTAATATATATTACGTTAATTTTTCCAATTGAAAATATTGTGACAAAAACGGTATCAAACGATAGAACATAAAAATGATGTACAGCAATTGGTGCTCACGCGCGTACCGCGTCCCGTCGTTTCAGCTCCTGGTGGTACATATTCTGTCTGAAGTGCCGTCAGAAGGAAGTGGGACCGGGATGGGAGCCCAAGTACTGGTCCAAGACGTGTCCCCATCCGTATTGTCCGTCGTTCCGGCAGGTGGCGAGGATCATGGCACTGCTCATCACCGTCGTGTTGTTCTGGGGCGTTGTGATAACCGTCATCGGGGCGGACGCCAAGCCCGGCGGCCAGTTGTTCAACATCGCCGTGCTGGTGATCAGCGCGTACCTGGGCGGATGGGTACTCCGCATGCTCACTCTGCCTGCGCTTGTCGGCATGCTCCTTGTCGGCATATTCTACCAGAACGCTGGTCTCATAAGTATAGAGGGCAAATACAAGGGTCTCGTGTCGGTTTTAAGGTATCATTATATGAATATAAATAAAAATAACAATAACCGTAAACATACAATAGCAATAACAATAACAATAATATATCGTACGCAGTTAGTTTCCCTCGATGATTCGTGGTTGAAAAATAAATCGAGTTTATTTGTATTTGTTTATTATTTTTCTTTTTTTTTTTTGAATTAATGACTTATTTCATTTTAATTGATTAATATTTAATTTAACGTATTTAATTAACGTCAATTTATTTTTTAACTACGAATCATTGAAAAAAACTTGCTCTATGCGGTATTATTGTTATTGTTATCGCCATAAGCGCAACTAGGGGGCGAAACCGAATTTTTAGCACCCCTGAGTTCAAATTTAGTGCTTCAGTTTTTCTAATTCAGATCTATATAATCTATAGTAATTACAGTGAAATACCATTCAATTTTATTTTCAGTGATTTCAGCATCCCCAATATTTGGGCTCCAATTACTATTTTATTTTTATGGTGATTAATTTATACATAGACGTTTATAGATACTATAGTGGTCAATAAATATCGAAAGTTTACGATTAACTAAAAATTACTAAAAATTATATTTTTACGTTTGAAACACTTATTTCATACATTTCCATAGCCAATAACTGTATTAATGTACTATACAACTATTTCTTAATATTTACAAAGGCTTATAAGCGGACATTTGGTTGAATTTTTGGGAGGGGCTATAAAAATTCAATGTATAATAATCCGCAGGAGCTTTGCCCTACACCCCCTTCCCATGCACTTATTACTATTAAAAATATAAATTTGTTTAAATTGTATTAAAAAACACTAAATAACGTATATTTAAAAATAATTAATATCTATTATATATAATCAAATATCTATTTGTATCATCAAAGATAATCGAAATATCATTGCTTTTTATACTTTTCGATATATCTTTTTCAATATATACTCGTAGATGGATTAGAGGGATTCAACTGTAGTTGATAATAGTACATGATACATAAATACAATTACTTAAAAATGTAGGAATTAACTAATGTAATCTACTAGATTAATCGTTTTATAATTGATAGGTTATGCCTATTATTAGATAAATAATTAGACTGCAGTTGTTCACCACATTCTCTTTCCCTATTGCGTTTGTTACGATTTACGGTAAACTATAGTTATGGCACGAGTGTACGTTATGAAGTTGTGTTTTATTGCAGGAAAATCGCATTAGTAGTTATATTCACGAGAGCTGGGTTAGACTTGGATCCTGTAGCGTTGAAAAAATTATACTGTAGAGTGTTGATCCTCGCCCTCGTTCCGTGGTTTTTCGAAGCGGCCGTCATTGCAGTAATCGTATATTACCTCTTAAGTATACCATGGCCGTTTGCCATACTTTGCGGGTATTGTATTTCTACGCACATTAGTATAATACACTGTCATAGTTATATTCGAATAGACGTTGATCATATACACTATGACCTTTGTTGTTGCTCGTAGATCTATAATCGCGGCCGTAGCTCCAGCCGTAGTTGTTCCTTGCCTTTTCCGCTTGAGATCAAAAGGCTATGGGGTGGCCAAAGGTATCCCGACTTTAATCATTGCAGTAGCGGGAATCGACGACGCAGCTTCGGTTATAGCCTTTGGAGTGGGAACTAGCATGCTTTTCGGATCAAGTACGTGTGATGTTAGGAAACGCTATTATTTTTAATCATTCTGTATTGAAATTAAAAATGTGCATTCATAATTGTACACATTTTTTTTTTTTTTAACTCAAATATTATACTGCGTATAAATAGTATTGAATTACATTTATCTAAAAATTATTTTATAGCACATTTTTTTAGTATTGGTATAACCATTGTACATTGTAATTATTATTAGTTATAGTTTTAGATTATTTTAAGAGAGTTATATATGCTTGAAATATTTAATTTTCGAAGGAGATAAACATTTACAATAAATTTGGTTATTTTTGATAATCTAATGTTTTCCTGCAGGAATAAATAACTATAAACGTTCTTACTTATTAATTTAATTGATTTGTAATTATCCGTTATGATCCTTGCCCAAAGACAATTTATGTTTTTCAGATACAGTTACCCATGATTTATTGTTAAGTCCAATATCAATAGCAGTTGGGATTATGTATGGTATTGTGTGGGGTTTTATTGTTAAATATTTTCCGGAACGATCTGATGTAAGTATTGAAATAAAAAATGACAAATTCAAAATTATATTTTAATAATTCGATTAAAGCTCTTTTGCATTAATAATTATAGGGTTTAATATGATTATTTAGTGATTATTGTTATAATTTTTACTAGTTATGCCGAATAAAATACTACTTAATGATGTAATATAAATAAATTACATTAATTATAATATTTGCAAAAATTATTGTACATTAAATTATTATCATATTTAAGATATATTGTGATATTATTATTTTGAATTCTACTCGATGAAATCCAGTAATTAATATTGTGTAAGTAGCTACAGTGTTAAATAGTTCAATCAAAAACATATATACGAATATATATATATATATATATATTTAAAATATTTCAAAGCCTTTTTCTAAGGTTAAAAAAAACTTTCATAATTGTAAATTTTTCAAAAATATTTTAAATACACCTAAATTAATGCCACATTAAATGTTTCAAGTCAATCAATGTTAATATATCAACAATCATTCTTACATTTTCTCAGGCTTCGAAGAAAAATACATTTTTAAATTATTAAAAATAATAATTACAATTTAAAGTTTTAATTTACTTTATTTCAAAATAGCCTAAAGTAAAAAAAAAAAAAAAAAAAAACGGGCTTAGTTAAACAAATACATGTAATAAGAAATTTATTTTTAACAATTAAAGATTAATATTTTTGTAAAACAATTTTGTAGTATAATTTGCAATAAAAAAATAAAATAAAATTATATATTCATAGTATAAAATGACTAATAGTATAAACAAATAATAGTATAAAAGTAGTTATAACTCGTTGAGGAACTAAATATAATTTAGCTTAATTTTAACGCACTTATTTTTACACACATTGTTTTTATTTTCAGCCGTATGTTGTACCATTGCGAATTATGATGTTAACCTGCGGTGGACTATTAGCTGTATTAGGTTTTGAAGAAACGAGTTTAGAAGGCGCTGGACCATTAGCTGTAATCATCTCTGCGTTTACTTCAATGTATTTTTGGACTAAACAAGGGTGGAATATTGAAAATGTATGATAATGATTAAGTACAGTAAATATTTTGTAAATAATAAACATTAAAAATTAAGATTTTTTTTCCCTCGCTATAATAATACGAATTGAAAAATAATTCAAAATATCCAGTACAATATTTTAATTTAGACATTAGAGGTAATTTTCTTTTATGAATATCATTTAAAATGTATGCTGTAACAAGCAAATGTGATATTAAAAACTTATTTCTCCGAATCTCTATAAATCACTTGAAAAAATTGTTTTATTTAGATAACTGATTATATTTAATTATTTAAAAATATAAAAAAGTTATGTCTATGTAATATCGTTAACGATTTAAAATGATTTAAAACTGTTATTAATTGTTTGTTTTCATTTTGAAATTTAATTTTTATTGTTCATCGACTTATTCATCGAATGAAATTTAAATTGTTAAATTTATAATATAATCATAATTTACGACCTTGTGGTTTATATGTTTTAATGAACATTCAACTAATTAGCCCTAACACATATTACATAAGACCTATTTCTTAATAATATATTACTGAAATCAAAACACGTATGTTTATCTATAGAAAGTAACTGATATGCCATAGAAATAAATATAGATAGTGTTATTAAAACGTGTAAAACACATACTGTATATGATTTGTAAAGAAATAATTAAAAAAACAGTAACAGTAAAAAATGGTTTATAAACGAATGAAATACTTATCGAGTTAAATGAACAAATGTTAACTATTTACAGTTGATATTCCTCACACGTAAAATAACAAAGCGGCGGGAGGCATTTAAAAAATACTCTGAAACATGTTATGCTTCTTATTTTCCATAATAATAATTGGAATTCAGAAATTCAGGAAATAAGCGACTAGTAGAAAAATGCAAGGGTTTATAACTTTTGAACATCCTGTATATATTGATCAAACATTATCGTATTTAAAGACTCAAAACTAAAAAGAACAACGTAAATTATCTACATGTTATAATACCTCTAATTTTTTTTTTTTAATGAACATTGACATGTTTTGTACTTAGCAAATTGAACGTTATAATTGTCGATTGATCCTATAAATTAGAATCCAGTGGCCACGGCTTTTGAAATATTTTGGATGATTTGCGAACCAGTACTGTTTGGATTGACAGGTACACAAATTATACTCAACCAACTTGAAATTCGCTTCGTAACGACAGCTATAGCATGTGTCATAATCGCTATTGTGGTACGTAAAAATAAAGCCATTGTCAACCATATCCATTTTCCAATTAATCTTGAAATACTATTTAAAAATTGTACTTGTTCTAATTTTCACGGGTTTTATATTTTTAATACATAATAATTATGGTATCGATTCAATATGCTACCATCACTAAAGGCAATTGCCAGGAAATTTTTTTTTTCTTTTTGATAAGTGATTTAGACTATAAACCATCCTTCATACTCAACATTTTAGAGTATAAATATGTTTTTTTAATAGCAAATTTTAAAATAAAATTTCAAATGTAATTGTCATTTAAAATCATTCAATTTTATTTGAAGAAACATTTCGAAGGGTCTGAACTCTAACCCCTCCTAGTCACGACTTTGCAGTCATAACTTTTTTTATTTTTATGCTTCCTACAATATATATTTTTTTTAAATATTGATTTTGGTTTTCTATTCAACATCGATAAATATAAATCAGACCATTTAAGACTTTAGTAGTTTTTGGTTTCATAAAAATTAGTATAATAAATTAGTTACCTTTATTTATATTCTTAATATTCATGGTATTTTCATAAATAAGGTTCCTTTTATGAAGCAAACTTTAAACTGTAAACCGGGATTTATTAACACTATACTGACATTTGGTGTGGTATAGACTCAATTACATATTAATTTATTTCGATTTTTCATGTTCAAAATTATAATAGTTATGTTTAGCGATTTTCGTCAATAGCTATGTTTACTTATTACATAGAACCAATAAAGTTTTATCTAGGTAAATACGAGTAGTTTATTGAATAAAATCTAATTTACGATAGAGTAATAGCATCATGGTTGTGATTAGATACCTTGATTGAAACAGTACCATAGTTGCTAATTTGATTCGCACTACAAAGTATGTTAATAGTTATGTAAATAATTGATGAAAGAAATTTTAATTTTAGGCAAGGATTTGTGTGACGATTATAGCAGCGACTGGAAGTTCTTTAAATTTCAAAGAAAAACTTTTTATCTCACTTTCATGGATGGCCAAAGCGTCCGTTCAGGTAAATTATAATTGATTTCAAGTAGCAATTACTAATTTTTTTTAGAACATAAAAAGCTTATTTTTATTTCATACATTTTCACATGTTAAATATATTTATAACTTGGACACGGTTTCTATGTTGAGAAAAAATTTATCAATATTTTATGATAAAAGATTATAAAATTCAACTGTAAAAGTTGCACAATGTTTAATGTTTGATACAATAGTAAATATTATGTACTATTTAATGTCAATAGCGTCAAACCTACATTATATTATGATATTTTATAATAAAATCAGATAATAATTGAAAAACTGAATAGCCAAATATTATACTAGTATCATTCGAAAACATTATTATGATAATGAATCAATCAATATAATTATTTCGACGAACAATAGCAGTGAAACATTTTCTTATTCGTTGTATACGGTATCCAACTGTATAAAATACAACAATGCATACAATGAATACATATTGTAAAATCATCGTGTAAAGAATATGCTATGTCGAAATAATGGTACGATTAGAAATGTTAAGGTCCAGAAATAAATATAAATCCATGTGTAAACAATAAAAAAAAAATAGTAATATTACTTATTGAGGTAAAAATTTGAGCATTTAAACATTTTATATGGGATTCGATTACAGCTATACAAATAATATTGTTGACAATATCGAATTAGTTCATCGTTAAAACGTCGTTTAATGCAGAATCGTGATATTTCAAATTTGGATATTTTACTGCAGCAGTTCTCAAACTTTTATAATCACGGAACCCTTAAAAAATAGTTTGTGTTTTGCGGAACCCTAATGTCTTTAATTCCAATTCAACTCTAATTTTTATAAAAAACAAAAATATAGGAAAATCTAACCTTAGCATTGTCCCATGGAACCCTAAGGTTCCGCAGAACACACTTTGGGAAACGCTGTTTTATTGCAATATTGGCTGTTTTGCAATAGATTTACAGACAAAGAACCTAGGTAAATTTTATTAGACCTAGGTACATTTTTAAATTTTTTAAAGTCCTTGCTTTTCTTTTTTTTATGTTTCAAACTTCTTAATTTGTGTGAGATAATTTCCTTAGATTTCCTGCAGGAAGTTTAGACATAATAGGTATGTTTATATAAATATTACATTTTTAAACAACGAATAATTTTATCACAAATAATAGAATAATAATATAATATTATTTATCTCAAATGCATTACCAAATTTGAACTTATTATTTTATTTTTATTTATTGAAATGAAAAACAAAGTTGGCTGACGTAAAGAAAAATATTTAATAATCATATACTATAACAGCGTATAAAACAAATATAATAATTATATTATAAAAATATTATCATTTATATTATAGTTATTTTAATTATTTGATATTTTTTTAAAGCCAATGCATCGCAAATATTTTCTTTGTATCCTTTTGATTTTTTCAATATAGCAAGGCGAGCATATTGATATACTATTACGTTTTTAATTTCATAATTTATTTATTTTTGCTTTTGATTTAATTTGCTTAATTTATTGAATATTTAAATTTCATTATAAAATTAGAATCTTTTGTTTATTAAAAATCACCACACAAGATATTTAGTAAATATTATACACAAAAATATATTAGGCTTTTGACGCAAGCCAATCTTATCCAAGTCGATAATAAGTATATTAGATTGATATTTATTAAAAGATAACAGATTCTTGTAATATTTTCAATGAATTTATATAGGTTCCCTGACTACAAACATACCACAAAGGTTTTTATAGGCATACAATTTAAAAATTGATAAACTTAAGCTTACAATCCGTTTTTCTGAATAACGTATGAATAGTTTTCTTTAGAGGAAATAATATTTACACATAAGTTCGCGGTCAGTTACTGCTATAGCAGTAATTTCAATTTTTTTTTTAAATTATGATGTAATGGGTCACTACTGTTATTGCATTAATTTAGAAAACTAACAAAATCGGGCATTACTGCTCATGCAGTACTATTTTTAATGGTATTAGACGAGACTGGAGATAAGACTGACCCATTGCGTTTACTGATACATTTGGCCACGTAATAATATCACACAATAATATTATTCCAAACTTAACATGTTTTATTTTTATACTCTCTGGTGGTGTAAGTGATTTTCTGAAGTAGATACATGAATGATATACAAAGTGAGGTGTCCGTGAACGTGTTATAACATATCAAGTTCTCATATTTAAAAGTTAACTTTTAAATAATAAGATTTCTAAAATAATAAATCGCTTATTATATGTAAATCATAGTATTTGACAACACATGCTGTAAGCGTGACTTATACACTATACATATTATTGAATAGATTATATTATTAACCGACTTATGTTAAAAAAAAATAATATTTCTCTACACATCAGTTTTTTTAAGCAGTTTTTTACAGACGATTTTAACAGAATAATAAATTAAACACAAAACATTTAACGATTACCATAAATTGAAAAATATATTTTCAAAATAAAAATGTACAAATAGTTCTGTGTAAGTAACAGTGGCGTAGCCAGGGGGGGGCTAAGGGGGATATAGCCTCCCATGGGCCGTGTTTATATGTATAATGTATCTTGACTATTTAATAGAATCAATGGATGCTCGTTTTAATCAAAGGTTTATTGATGTTATGCCACTTGAAGGACTTATTCCGGCCAATTTAATTATGTATGACGATAAAAATATTATAAAAGCTGCTAAAATAATGTCCAAGATCTCCATTATCATACTTCATCTACAATCAGAGCTGACCTGTTCATATGGAGGCAACAATAGAGTCAAAATACTATTCCAAAACCGAATTCTGCTCTTAATTCACTCTCTCATCGCACCAATCTTCGACCTAACATTAAAATACTTTTACAATTATTCGCCACGTTACCAGTTACCTCTTTCACTCCGGAAAGAACGTTTTCAGCACTTAATCGCTTAAAAATTTTTTTAAGAAGCACTATATCGGAAAACAGACTGAATGGGTTAGCTATGGCTTATATAAATAAAAAAAGAGCAATTCGATGAAAGTGAAATAATAACTGAATTTGCCAGAAATTCGCCTAAGAGGATGCAGCTGTCAGAGTGGAGCAAGGGACTGAACACTAAAACCAAAATTATTATTATTATTATAAATTATATATTAATAAATATTTTTAAAACTATACTAAAATGCTTGAATTAAGCTTAGAAACTTGGTGGTAGATGGTGGGGGGGGGTTAAGGGTGAATTCTCGTATCCTCTCTTACCTTAGTTATCCAAAAAAGTGGTTAGTCCCCCCCCATTTAAAAATCTTGGCTACGCCACTGGTCAGTAGTGATGCAATTAGGATATATTTTCAATATATAATGTATTGTAATATAATTATTGTATATATACAACTTTATTCCGATGAAAACTGTACTGTATTGGAACATTTTGTTTCTAATTAACATTAGAAACAAAATAACATTGCCTTGGAGTTGATTTTATTGAATTACATCTGGATTATTAATAATTTATAATATTAATAACCATTCAGGTGAATTTTTTGATACCCGTATTAATAAACTAGTGATTTTGGACGATTTAAAAAACATACGTATATCTATATTATTTTACAAATAATTAAATAAATAATTTTACTCTATAATATGTAAATATTTTAACGGGATTATATATATTAAAAACTTATAAGCATTCTGATTCGTTGTTAAAATATATCATTTTTATGGCAAAGGGAGGGAGAGGTAACTAATTACAAAATACCAGAAATGTCGGCCGTCCAACAGAATAATTCCAAACCACTTTGCGTTGAACCCTTTTATTATACGATGGATTACGATCGATAATTACAAACGAGGGTTGAATATACGTGTAAATATCGTCCCAGTGGTGGATTTAATAGTCGGGTGGAACGGAAGAACGAAAAACTCGAAAAATTTTAAACTAATGCAGATAGCATGTGCGGTATTCCTTAATAATTATTATATTATTGTTCAGTATTTTTCGAATCCTGTGACGCTAAAAACTGAAATTCTTACCTGATCTTTAACCTTAAACTCACCACTGGTCGTCCTGTTTAAATATTTGATCACGGTGTTATGCTTTCAGGCCGCTTTAGGTCCGGCCGTACTGGAAGCTTCATCCGGCCACAGCGAAGTGAACGTCGGCCACGCTCAGATGATTGTGACATTGTGCATCATATCAATTTTGCTGACTGCTCCGGCGGGCGCGATCATCGTTTCGCTTTTAGGTCCCAAGCTGCTGACTAAGGCGAAGCCCAACAGCAACGAACAGTGGCGGCGCGGTCCCAGGCCGTCCATCAGGGATATCACGTTGTACAACGAGGACGAGGAAAATGATACATACGTGAGCAATGATCAGTTGGAATGTGATAAGACCAAAACGGATATAGTGGAGATCCAAAACGAAAGGATTTGAAGAAATCGTTCGACCCCTCCCCCATTTCTTCCAGGTAAACTTGGAATGCGCATGAGAAATCGGCCATCAATAAGTAAACCTCGATTTACGGTTTTCGTTGGATAGTTATTATTATTATAATAATTAATTTTTTTACTATTATTATAATTATTACTTTATATTTTATCCTATTATAAAATGTTTGATATTATTTTTGCAATGTTTTCAAAATTCAACATATAATATTAAACAAACGTAAATTATACATAATAATATATTCTATAATCATCTACATTTCATAATAAATTGTTTAGTATAATCATATGCATAATAATATATTGTTAAAAGTATATAAAATGATAAGAAAATTACGAAAAAACCAATGAAACTATGAAACCTAACTGATTATAGTTAATAATAATGGTATACCGGATTTCATTAAAATATCTTTGGTGAACATAATTCCAATTCAATTGTACTTCAGGCCAGTGGCGTATCAACGGGGAGATAAAACTCCCCCAAAATTTTTGGGGAGAATTAGTTTCTTATGAGATGCATATTTTTGGTCAATATAGCTGTACATTATCTTATGGGAGTACCTTTGTGTATTTGAGTATTTCTAAGAAATATTGTAAATAAGAACGGTGAAATTATTACGACTATCCACTAATTCCTATTTTAATTTGTAATCATTATCATATTATGCTTGTGTTGGTAAGTATTTCTAATGTGGTATGTTTACACTCGTGGGTTTTTTCGTTTGTTTGATGTATTCATCATAGCGTACCACAAGTTAAACGAAAAAGCTTGCAATAGCGCATGCCCTTTCAAGTTAAACGGCTAAATTTTCGTGGCCTAAACTACAATGCAAGGTTTTCCACGCTCAGTGGGAATCCGTTCAACACGTTGTTCTTTCGCATTATATTGCATTTCACTCCGGTAGCTAAATATCATATCGTTAATTAGTCAGCTTAATTTTATCTGGAATAGTCTCTCTAAAACGAGTGTTTTGACTTACTATTTCTGATTAAATTATATTTAATATTGGGTAAAAATTTGCTTTGGTTATTCGTGTAAAATTAAAACGCGAAGAAAATGTCTCGTATGATTGCAAATCATCTATAATTTTAAAATGTCGAGTTTTTAAATAATTTTTGACCCGCAAAGAACGCTTCTTCCTAGGTTTTTTATTTGCACTTAGAATAATTAAGTAGGCCGCATAACACCGTGAAGTACATGTGGATCCAACAAAAAGCATGCATCTATTGCATTCAACAAAGACATGGATTAGATTAAAGTGGAATTGAATGTTGAAACGTTTAAAATGTGGAAATCGCATGAGTGTAAACATACCTATATATATTAAACTAAGTGGCGAATGGAACTAGTATGCGTTGTTTCATTTTTTCTATTCATAAATACATTAAAAATAATAACGAATAAAAATAAATAATCTATTAAAGTTTACGATATTTCTTGTTTGGTTCAGGACCACCAAATTGTTTGTTTAAAAATTAAAACCCTCCCCCAAAATTCAGGTCTAAGCATGCCAATACTTTAGGCAATTGATAAATTACTAAATATACTCAGTGGTTATGGAAAATAATTATATTTAAATAGACTTAAACTTCGAGTTAAGTAAAAACTTAATTTCTAATTTAACTCAACTTTAACTTTGAGTTTTTTGAAAATGCATAGTTTTATTATTTTTTTTTTAATCTTAAATATTGATTTCTAAAAGTTTGTTTGAATACCATAGTTACCAATTACCGTATATTATACCAGTACAATATACCGATTTGAAATTTAGAAATATTTGATTATAAACTCAAAAAAATTAGTTCATCGTAATCCATAATAATATTTAAATTAGAAAGTTAAATAGAAAGTTTAATATTATAATTTATTGTTTATTTAAAATTTAATTTTTACAATCACATATATACTTAACATTTTTTGTTATTCTGCTCTTCCAAATGTGTAATTGAAAATGTGACTTGAATTTGGGTCAACATTTGTTAAAAAAGTATGTTTGCACTGTTGAAATATATGTATATAAGTACAAAGAATATTAGTTATAACAAAATTAAGTATAGTTTTTAGTTGTTTAAATTTAAATTTACGTTTTATTAGAAATCCATAAAACTGTAGAGTTGAATATCTGTACAAATTTTGTACAATAAGTGATTTTGTTTGTATTATATTTTAATCGATGATTGTAGAAACATCACGATTCACAATACTTTATAATATTGAGATAGTAGTAAAAACGTATATTAGTCATGTGTTTCAATTAGGGATGGGCAAAAAAAATCGATGTTTTAGGTCAATTTATCGATGATTTGCTTTCGATTAATCGATTAAACATCGATGTTTACGTTCGAAATGTTCGATTTTTTTTTTTTGTATTATTTTAGTATGCAACATACAACAATCGTTATGCAGTTTACACAATACAGTTATAATCAGGGCTAGTAAGTTCATGCACTAAAAAACGCATAAATAAGCATGCAATAATGCACTAACATTTGATCAAATATGCCTTAAAAATCCTTAACTATGCATGAAAAAAAATGTATAAGCATTTTTTAAAATAATAAGAATTATCCATTCATTTTCATAAGTAATATTTTTTCTTCGGTTATATTTTATTAAAATTATAATTAAAGAACACACGTTGCGACGAAAATGGATATATTGCAATGGACACGTCAATAGGAGGAGAGTGGTAGTGGTGTGCAATAACATTGTTTCCATGGTACAAGTTCGGAAAAGTAAATAAGAATGAATTCAAATATTTATTGATCCAATTTTTTTTTTTTTAACTTCCACAAAATATGATTTCGCTGAATTTACATAAAATGCACTAATAACTAAAAAAAAATCAACTATATGCAAGGCTGGGCAAATTAATGATACTTTTTAACTCAGTTAGGTTAAGTTATTTGAGTTCATGTTCAATTAAGTTAATGCACATGAGAATTACATCAATTAAGTTAAAAAATATCGTTAACTTGACTTCAATTAATAAGTAAATATTTAAATTAAGCGCTGATATAAGTGATACAATTTAAATTAACTTAACTTTTAATTTATTAACTCATTAATACCCAGGCTTAACTATATGCCAAATATGCTAATACATACAAAACATGCAAAAATATACTTTACTAAACTTTAGATTTGTATTACAATTGATATGAAACGGATTTTTATTTCAATTAGAATATTTTCCGATGTAGCAAAGAAAACATGCAAATGCATGAACTTACGAGCCCTAATTATAAGTTTTTAATATGTATTTAAAAAATATAAGTTAAACAATAGTATTTTAACTCTTGAATTTATTATTTAATCAAGAAAATAGTATATTGTATAGATAATAAGGTGTGCAGCAGATGGTAGCTCTAAAGAGAAAAAAATGTTTACGATGTTTTTAAACTTCGATGTTCTTAAACATCGATGGTTTTTTACCGATACATTGAACACATCGATATTTTAAAAATCAATGTATCTATACATTGAATATCGATATTCAAAAAATGTTACCCATCTATAGTTTCAATGCGTTTAGCGTAAAAACACTGATTATTATTATTTATTTATGTGATAAAAAAAGTATAGCTAAAGACGTTTTTACATTCAAAATATAGAAACACATGACTAGTATACTTTTTTACTAATATCTCAACTTCATAAAATATGTGACTCATGACTAGGGAATGAACTTTAATGCCATAAAAAATAAGAAAAATGTCCTAAAAAAATACAACTTATGCATTAAAAAAATGCACTAAAATTTTTTAAAAACACAATTTAGAACAGATTTGTATATGTATAATATAATGTAATTCAACATGTCAATAACAAAATAATGAAAATAAATAAGTCAATATGTATAATATTGTTATTATAACTTACAACTTATAAAATACACATTATTATTAAAAATGTAATACTAATTTTTATTTAGTTTTATATTAATTATTTGCCGTTATCGCGTATCGTAACGTTATTGAGGTTATTTGGATTAAGATCGTTTCACGCTAACGATACAAACAGGAATTTTTAAACTTTGAGAATTACGTATAGGTAGGTACAATTAGCCGGTTTTCGTAAAAATAACTAATTTATGAGGCAAAACGAACAATTTTAAACAATTTACATTTAATGTATATTTATTTAAAATATTTATAATTCCAAGCAACAAATATGTATAAAAATTAATTAAAAACTCAAAATGCACTAAAAATATAAAAAAATGTTCTAAAAATCAAAAGAGTCATAAAAATGCAAAATAAAAGTTATATTTTTTAAATCCTTGATGTATGAAATAAACTTCATGTTTTCATCCAAGCAATGTTTTCAGACATTCAGATAAAAATGCAATTTGCATTCATATCCGTTCCCTACTCATGACGTTTCTGTAATCATTAATTTATTTAGATTAAGATGAAGACTTCGTTACCAAAATATAGTTTTACATTTTGGAAAATTATTAAATAAAAAAAACCCTTTGCAAATTCCTAATGTTAGATGGACCCTTGGCGGTTTGAACAAATTTTAACACACGTAACTTAAATTATTAATGGATATTCAAGAATGGAAACCCGTGAAAAGTTTAAAGTTATCGAGACATCTATATTTTAGATATAAGCTATAAGGTTCTGTCTCTGAAAATCCTTAACAGACTAGAAAAGTATGTAACTGATGTTATCGGAGAATACTAGAGTGGATTTATGAGAGAGATTTATTTATGTTAGATATAATAAAGCCAAGCATCTATAATGGAGGGTCATGTCGGGCGATATGAGAGAATTATAATGCGGAAGGTACTAATTGATGAACCAATTGGCAAGTGCTCCAAGGAAAGACCTCGACAACGATGGAAAGATAAAGTAAATGTAGATATAAAAATGGTAGACGTAATAGCAAATATCGAGACTGCTATTGCCCGTGACAAATGGAGGGGTTTAATAGAAGCTGTAAAAGACTTTAATGGCCCATAAAAAAAAAATAAAAAATAAATACCTTAATAATAGCAGATTGAAGAAGTTATCAGTAATCCGATAAGTAACTAAGTAAGTGAAGTTGTAGAAAACTTATGGTTACTTTCGTTTGGACTTTCTTAAAGTAAAGGTGTAT